GGAATATTCTCGGACAATTTCCTCCGATCTTCAGCAGTCTTTTCAAACTCACGCGGTTCACCCGCGGCTCGCGGAAAAAATAGTGCAGACGCCGAAACGATCGCTGCACGGCGCGGGCTGGAGCGCCGAAGCGCTGCAGAATAGGATAACAAGGGCGACGAATGAAGGCGGTCCCCGTTTCGCGGCGCTTCGGCGGCACACGACCGTTGTCGCAGCTGAGGACGGGCGAGGGGGGGTTGACAACAAAGCAATGAAACGCTGTGCAGGGAGTCCCCCCTCCTCTCCCTAGCTGGGAGAGGAGTATGGGCGGTAATACGAGAAAATAAACATCCCTCTTTACAATAGAATAAATCTATTGTATTTTTCAGCCTTATATTTTACATAAGGCTTATACATTGCCACATACTAGTCATTTAACGTATCTTATTTTTATTTTCCTAATACTGTCGGCTTTGGAAAGGATCAAAACACAAAAGTGTAAAACTCAAAAGTATTTTAATGGCAAAAATCAGGTAGCTATGATGCTGAAACCAGCAGAGTATGACTGAAACTGAACCGTATGCACTGAGGAGTGAGAGATGACAGAGGACTAGTTATGAGGAGGAGCTGTGAGTGGGAGCAGAGGACAGCAGGGGAACATAGGAGGAACTATAAATGAAAATACTTTTAAAGAAGAAAGAATCCTAAAAGGGAAAGAAGAATAACTAAAAAAAAAAACTAACAAACGGAGTAGAAAATTCAGTGGAAGGAAAAAAGAAGACTTGAATACTAAATGAGAAAACCATAACAGCTGGGGAACCAAACAAAAACAGAGCCATTGGTTTTGAGCCACAATGCCTGATATCATTTATTTACATGATAATTTTTAAACTTTTAAGTATAAAAATGCCACATTTAATGCACTTTACTTTGTCTTGGCATCAACAGATATATAACTGTACTTTTATGCTGATTATTTTATTACAGATGGAAAGAGGGTCGTAGTAAGGTGTGGGCCTACTTCACTAAAGATCCATCCTGTGATGTCATCTGCAGCATCTGCTCATCTTCAGGAGTTGTTTGTGTGTTCTGTTGTTTTTGAGATTGCTAAATAAATCTTATTTGCATTACTTGGAAACCCTAGTGAGTTATTGAGACAGTTCTTTGGTGTGTAATATAGAAATAAGTTAGCATCAAAAAGGCAGAGAATGAAGGGTTTAATCTTAAGAACATTTGTATTTATTTCTTTTTTTGTGAGGGAGATTTATCGGCCATCGGCCTTTGTTAAAAGTTTTATATCGGTATCGGTCCCAAAAAAAGCATATCGGTCAGGCCCTAATGCAAAACACTTTAAAAAGCCAACAGGCTATCTCCAGGTGTGTGGGTGCAGCAAGAACTGTTGAACATTTTAAGAAAAGTGAATTGGCAAGCACAAAGTTAAAGGTCAAGCAGAGGCACATGGGGACCAAAGAAAACATGCTGTTGCAGGATGTCTGCACACGCTGGAACAGCACCTATGACATGTTGTCAAGGCTGCAAGAACAAAGATGGCCAGTGACTGCTACATTGTTTAACCCAGAAGTGACCCAAAGAGGGAAACATTACCTGAATCTCAAACCTGACCAGTGGAGCCCTTCCACTCTGCCAGTTTTTGAGTAGAGAGCAAAATTCTGCACTTCCACATGTCGTTGACAAAATTAAGAAGTCACTTCACAGTCAGAATCTCGAGTCACCACCTGTGGTGTCATTCCAGACTCATGCAAAAGAACAGGTCACAACAAGATGGAAAGACTTGGGTGAGTTCAAACCTGAGTCTCCAAACATCACATTGCTTGCTGCTTCTCTGGATCCCAGATTTCGAAAACTCAAATTCTTAACTGCTGGCCAAGCATTTAGAGTCAAAAACGCATTGCAAACCATGGCACTTGCTGTCAAGCAGCAACTGAGGCCCACTGGATGCGGAAATGAAGCATCCAGCACAGCAGAGGGTGCTCCATCTACAGCACATAAAGACAAGATGACCAAATCCTTCCTTGACTCGGACTCCACCAGCAGTGATGAAGAGCAAGATGAAGAACAGCTGTCAAATTAAGCTATACAGAATGAGGTAAACATAAATAATGCTTTGTTTTTTTTGCCCCTTTTATTTTGGTAACAATTTCCTATAAGGCAGTTCAAATGTTCTACTAGAACAGAAAATGAATATTTTATAATGTTGAATAAGCCTAAGACATTTTTAGATTTTTTTTGTTTGTTCTTTTTTCCCCCAACTGTCACAGGTCTTGGCATATTTCGGAGAACAGTCCCTTCCAAAGAAGGATGATCCTCTGATCTGGTGGAAAGCTAATGAACAACGCTTTACAACATTGGCGAAGCTGGCAAACTCCCTGCTCTGCATTCCAGCTACATCCACCCCATCCGAACGGTTGTTTTCAGCAGCAGGTAATATTGTGTCAAAGAGGGCAAGCCTCAGCCCTGAGCATGTAGATATGCTCACCTTCCTTCACTGCAACCACAGGCTCCTTGGATAGATTGTACTTCCACTCCCCAGGCAGTCTCTTGAGGACGGTTTAAAATCCTTGTTTACAGTAGTAGGACTTGTGTGCCAAGTTACTGTCTTACATGTTAGTTCTGAATATAAAGTTGCACATTTGAAGGACAGTGTTAACGGCACAATTTATTGCACATTCTTTTGATACTAAGAGTGATAACTGCTTTTTTGTTATTCAACGAATATTTTTATTTTTTTTATGTAACTGTCTCAGGGAAAGTTAAGTTAAAAGTAATATTATTTATATCTGTGTTTTCATCTCAAATGTTAAGGTGGAAGTAATTTTAGTTCTGATTTTTCTAAAGAAACAATTACTATTTTCCATTATACAAATACATTAATAAAATGTCATTATACATAACATTTCAATTTGTTGTTTTCATCATTAAGTCTGTCTTTTTTATATTGTATATTTATAACTGAACCTTAATTTAGCAAAAGTATGTTTTATTCGATTAATCGATTAATCAATCGGGATATTCGATAGAATACTTGATTACTAAAATATTCGATAGCTGCAGCCCTAAGGTAAAGTTGAAGCGCTGAAGTTTTGAAAACCAATTAAAACTTGAATAACTGGCAATTGCTTGCTCATTTTAAGGTCTTTCATATTTTATAACATGCTATTTGACATAATGGTTCACAAACAGATAAAGGTAATTTATTAGAGTACTCGATTAATCGATAAAAGATTCGATAGAGTACTCGATTACAAAAATATTCGATAGCTGCAGCCCTATACAGAATATTCAATTAATCGACAGGATTTGATAGAATATTCGAATAATAAAATATTTGATAGCTGCATGTAACATTTCACTTGTTCTCTACACAACATGCTCACAAGTTTAGAACCAGAAGTGAAATTCAAGACCAAACAAATCTCAGCCGACTAATCGATCCCTGCACAATAGATTGCTACTGCAACTAGGATATACAGACATTTTAATTTATGTTCTTTCTCAGCATAAAAGATGTCCATTTAATTGCACAAAAACCTAACATTTTTGAAAAACCTCACTGGAAAAATCATTATAAGAATTCAGTTTGAAAGATTGCTGCTCTAGTTTGATAGTATTCAAGCTGATGAGCGATGCTGAATAAATAAAATATGAATGCTGATATTAAGGATGGGCAAATTTTTATATGACCATTATTAAATAGATTATATTTTTCCTAACTTTGATAACTCAGACAACTTGTTCCCATCTTTGGAATACAAGTGTGTAATTTAAATAAATATCTTTGAGAACCCAAAATACTTTTGTTCACAAAGACTGGTTAATTTTTCTAGTGATAAAGTCACATAAATGTTCCAAAACACACACTGTCCTAAAGCGCTGTATCATCATTCTATGCCTCATGACATTTATTATTTGTACACATAAGATTTTTGGTAAAAACATTTCTGCCATCTGAAATTATTTTACATGAAGAAAAAGAATGTTAATTCAAAAGGTAATGGGTGAAAAATTATTTACTTTTTTTTTTCATTTGTTATCTATGTATGTTTAAATGATTGTGTATAAAAAAAATTTCAGAATCCAACTTTATTACCCTCCACATAAACAATGCCAATTACCTATGAAAACACATGCAGTAAAGTTATGCATGCTTTGCGTATAACACCATTTTGTAGTTATGCATGCAACATACAGACTTCCTGTTATGATACCATGAATTTTAGGTCAAAGGTCTGAAGTCGACAGAAAAGGATAATAAAGAAATCAGTGTTCAGAGCTACTTTGTTAATGATCTACCCAATCCTACATGGGCCAGTAAGTCCATTAACACTGCTGAACCACCTGCTCTACTGTTTTTCCCTCTTAAAGCTAACTGCACAGAGAAATCGCCTCAGATGTGAACTTCACATGGAAAACATTTCCATTTTCCAACTAATACAAATCCAGTTCTACAACAGGAAAAACCTAAAAACAAAACTTCACACCTTCTGCAGAAACCAAGTAAATGTTGGTTCTTGGTTTAGGTTTTAACAAAAACAGAGGATGGCTCTGTAGCCGCTTGCTCATTCACTCCAAGGATAAACAACGTTCAGTTTCAGCCTGGTCTCTCTCAGGAGGGAGCTCTGTGTGACCAGGGAGCCCCCCCCCCCCCCCCCCCCAGTCCATTGGAGCTTCTCTACAGGACATCGCCCACTTGGCCACACATACTCTGGGTGAGTAGTTTCTGCCCCTCCCTGAATTTTGACCCAACCACAACCGAGGTAGACGGTTATAATGGTCATTAGCACCTGTTAGGTCATATACAGGGACTTTTTTGGGAACAAAATCAGTACCATGAAGGAGATGATGACTGATATGAGTTACTGTACAACACATTTTTAAATTAATCCCACTTTCGTAATGAGAGGCCCTTTAACAGAAATCTCTTTAGAAGTTTGGGCCTTCACAAAGCAGTACACATATCTTCAGTGACATCCAACTGCTGTGTTAGAGGATGCTACACTTACATTTTGATGTGTTGCTGTTCCACATCCGCACGAGACAGCTCCTCCTCTTCCAGGTCAGAGTCCCCACCAGAGCTACTTTCAGTTACATCTGAGTCAAAGGCTTTTTCTGCAGAATGAAGGTTGGCTGATCCACTCAAATACAACCTCTCCAGCTCCAAGGGCATAGAACCACTTTTTAAGAACCGACTTAGGCTACCTCTGTTGTTTGAGGAACAGTGGCGTCCAGTCCTCCATGAAGCCGAAGGAGCCACCTCCGATTTGCGGTTTCCAGTTCGTATCCTGTTAAGAGTCGAGTCCAGGAAGCCACCCAGCTGCTGCTGGATGTGTCGCTCCACCTGCTTAGCCTGTACCACCTGAAGACGCTTGCGCAGGCGCCGCAGACGGTTTTCTATTTCAGCTTGGCGTCTGCTGTTAAGGTGCGTGCGCTCTTTAATGTGAGCGTCAAGGCTGTCTGAGGAGGAACCAAATGGAAGAGGGGGTTCGAGTACAGCTGTGCATGTTGGGGAGCCCTGTTGGCTGCTACCCGGTCTCTCCCTGTCAGAACCCTGGGGCTGACTGGTAGACGTATGGGAATCAGCCTCATCCAAACTAACTTGCTCAGCAGAATTAGAGTTGTCCTGGAAAAAGGGGGAAAAAGCAGCAGAACGAAGCACTGGTGGTTCCAAGTTATTCCCATCTGCATGTTCTGATGCCCCAGAGGGATTCTTTTGTTTAAGGGTTTCTTTTACTGGGTTATGCCCTGATATGGTAGCTGTAAAGGTGTCAGCGTCCAGTGGCAGGTTCTGGGACTGAGAGTCTGTGGTGGTGGGAGGCTTATCGCCGTTCACTGCTACCACACAGCCAGAGCCCGACATTGTGGCCAGCTTCTTGGCCAGGCCATTGACAGGTGCCATGGGCTGGCCACTCCCGTTTGTGCTGCCACTCATGAGGCTTTTCAGTTGGCCACCAGACAGCTCTATTGCCTGCCTCTTCCTCAAGAGGAAGTCTCCACCACCGTTGAGCAGGGCGCTGGGCAGTATTCTGTGGCCTTTCAACACAGACTGTTTGATGAGGACTCCTTGAAGCTTGATTGACTCCTTAGTTGCAGGGACAGATGTCACATCAGAGCATAAATATGAAGCCACCAGAGGCTGGAGTTTGCCCAAGGCCGAGGCCTGGGACACAGAGTCAGGTGGGGGCTGCTGTTTCTGTTGCTCCTGGTCTCCGCCACAGAAGTCGAGAGGGCACTCGTCAGAGCCGACCTTGCACTTGGTGGGGCTGCTGCTGTGGATGAGGATGTTGCTGGTGTTACTGTTGCTCTCTGCACTGGCTGGTGACAAACTTGAGGATGGGGCAGCCAGTTTGAAGCGGATGTGGTGAGCTTCGGCTGGGGCGTCGGTGAGAGCGGGCGCCATCGCAGCCATGCAGTGCAGAGGGACGGGCACCGCGGCCTGCTCCACACCACCCGCTTACTGCCCCACCTGAGGGCAGCCTGCAAAGGGGTACAATATAATCAGTTAATGCAAACAGATATTTTGAAAAATAATATACATTTAAAATTCTAATCATCCAAGAGATTTAGACAGGATTACATTTTTAGTAGCATTTTATGAACATGCAGTAAAGAACTGTTGTAACTGGTAATTTGATTTTAAAACACAAGGTTTAGAATTTTAAAAATCTGTATCTACTTGTCTTCATTACATACATCAGACTAGTAAAGTCAGCTAACGGGGCTATGGCCGGACCTAATCGAACATAAAAATAAAACACTTGCACAACAGGTTGTGTAAGCCTATACAGAGACTGGAAAATTCCAACCACCTAAAGAAAAATACTTACATTTTTCATTAACAAGGTAGTAATAACCCAAATACACTCAATAGAACTATTTCCCAGTTACGCAGGCCCAATAAACTGACTCTCTCCCTCACACACACACAGAAATACATTTAGTCATGAGTATTACTAAAAGAAAAAAAATTGGGTTTTTGAAATATTTGAGGGTTTGATTATTAGACATTAAACCAGCATCAATTACCGTAATTAAATAAAACGCTATTTATTTAAAAGATTCAACAGTAACTGATCTGAAAAAGCCAATATCGGTGATATTCATAAAACCGATAAGAAATGACCTTGGGGAATAGTATGCATAGGATACAGAATGAATAAGAGCAGTCACCTGGGCTATGAACAATTAATATAAGCCACTACACGCCTGCATGTGCAGATACGTCTAAAGTGTCCTTTCCTAATGACAATCATGTTTAAAAAACAACAACATGGGAAGAAAGACAGAAACAGAAGAAGGCAATGCAAATTGACCAAACCCCACTGCCCTACATGTGCACTGGTATGCAGCAGGGTTTCTCAGTGGAAGGTGGATTTAGGCCCAACATTAGCTCAAAGCACGTAGTCATCCTCACAGGATTGCTTTGTCATTTGTACACAAACTTATTCTAATCATCCCACTTTCCCTGATACTACATCTGGGAATGTGCGTCTAAAATGCTGCATGCAAAGAGAATTTCAATGACATCCAGCATTGTTTCCATGGTTAACATCTCTGACTACCTATACCTACGATATGAGAAACTTTCAAAAGAGCTCCCTTCAATCCCAACGATAAGAGCTGCATCTCTGCGCATCGTCTGCAGGCTCAGATGAATGGGGGCTGTGTTTCACCGCAGTTTCGAGTCGGCGCGCACTACGCCATGTTGGTATTTCCGACGCAGATTATGCAATGCAATTCATCTGAAACCACCCATTCGGCTCCAAACACACCTAATGAACCCGGGCCGCACAGGGGGATTCAATCATCTGCGTCGGTACAAGCGTCACAATCAACATCCCGGAGCTTTTTTTTCTTCCTGTTAGCTGGTTTCAGATGCGACAAAAGCCTCCACGTCCAACGTCAGTCCATCTCAATGTAATCATCAAAATGTCCTCCCAGTGTTTACTAACGCGTTGGAGCGTTTAAAGGCAGCTGGGTGCCGAGGCGTCCTGTTTACCAGTGGAAGCGGGACTGCATCGGGATCCTTTTTAATTAGTTTCGGAGGAAAACAGAGCACGAACGCTCTAGATTGTTGACTCGTTCCCGTAACAGGAGGAGAGTTCATCACCGAGCAGCAAGCTGAAGAACCTTCGGGTGGATGTCTGGTTAAATCCCTCCACCTAATACAACACGGAGGAAAAGAAAGCGAGTCGCCGCCGCGGCTGCTGATCGCTGGCCCGAAGAAAGCTGCTGATGCAAGAAACAACCTGCTGGCAGGCTGGAGCCTCTCACAACCAGCTGCAGTGGAACCACACCGACTGTCTGCAGCGTGTGACCGACGCATCTCAGATCTGCTACACACCAACTCGGGAGATCCACTCAAACATTACTAGTTAACACTTTACTGGCTACATAATGCACGCAAACGCACAGGGTGGTAGTTTTAGGCTAATTAAGCCCAAAGTTACCATGTTTAACATTCGTACTAAACCTGAATTATTTACTAGCGATAACCCAGCCTCCGTAACCCTGTAAATGTGCACATGTAGCCGCTAGAAGACTCCCTGGTTTAAGATAGAAACTACTTTAAACAGCGATGTGGTGCAGTAGACACCGCGGGCATCGTAATTAACTAAATAAATAAACACGAGGTGGTTTTAATCTCACGCGGCCGTCTGATGTGTCCAATAGCTGCTGGTTGATCAAACGGTGCCTGAGATTACAACAGGAATGAGAAAAGCTGAGAAGTTGGGAGTAGACCAGGCAGTCTGGCTAGCTCGCTAACAAAGAAAAAGGAGGAACCTACCACGTGACGAGGTTGCACTATCCGAGGGAATTTCGGCAACAGTCCCCTGCAGTTTAGGTGGAAAAAAACCAAGAGTACGAACACAAGACCCGAGGGTAAACTCGATCAGTCTGCCATTAATAAATCCAAAAAAACCAACCAGAAGATAGAAAGGGCCCGGTTGTCGGAGCCGCTCGGCTTCGTTCCGGATTCAGCAATGGGCGAATCAACGATCTACACCTCGCCTCGCCGCCACCGCGAATATAAGCCCAGGCCGTGAAACAGTCCGTCCTCTTCCAAATTACATCTAATGTAAGCGATTTCACGACAATCCTGGAGCGAAAACCCCGATTCCCCGGGACAGGGGGGTAATCCACAAGGCAGTTTGCGGCGAGCCTTTTTCTCTCGTTTTTAGGAGACGCTTAGAAAATGGCGGCTAGCTCCTCTCGGTCGGATTTGAGTCTGACAAACACATAAGTGCTGTGAGCGCGCGCGCGTGTGTGCGGGCGCGCGGCGCTGGTAGGCGGGAGACGCTTCTCCGCCTCACCACTAGAGGAGAGGACAGGAACCGGACCAGGAGACACCACAGGAGGGCATTGTCCCAAAAACACAGCGCAATGTCACTCCTCCACCAGGCCGCTGCTGGTTTAACTGGAAATATTACTGCTGATCAACACAAATATCCCGCATGGCTCAACTGTTTCTCATACACACACAGCTTCCGTCCACAAAACACACACATTAAGATTATTAATCAGCATGGTGATATTCTAATGAGTGGATTAATCAGGATTATAAGCACTTCACTTGAGTCTCCTTCCCTCAGGAGACGGGACAAGACGGATCCAGGTCTCTGATGTGACCCTAAACAGGATCCAGATCAACCACCACCACAGCTGCAGTCTGACCACATGAAGGAGAGCTACAGCACATGGTACCAATCATTAAACATCAAACCTGCAGCTCAATTAACCTCTCAGACTGGTACTATTTATGGAAAATATAAGCTAGAACACATTGTTTACTCACACGATACCTGGAATAAATACATGGAACTAAAGCTTTTGTTCAAGTGTTTATCTTGTTTTTAAAAAAACGGCAGTTCATCACTTCCTGTGTTGAAGGTTCGTCTAAGGAAGGAGATGATTCAGTTGCCTGTCAACATGTCTTCTTAAAATGTGAGAAAATAAATCGCATGGGAAAGGTCTGAGTAGGAACAAGCGCTATCGTCTGATGGTAGAAGTGATGCTAGTTACATCACAGGGAAAAAGCTACAAATGTGTGCTAGGACGTCTCAGGTATTCAGACAGCTGAAATGACTTAATGACGTTTAACTCCACCCATCCAGCTTTGTGTCTGCTTCCAGAGTGTTCCATGTGTTACTCCTGATGGAACCCAAGGTGTTCCCCAAACTTCCTGTGGTTTAGTTTTCCATCTGAGCTGCCTTAAATCTCTCCAAACGGATATCAGTTTAATAGCTTGAATCAATGAGACAACGGTGTACTGGGTTCTGGAGGCCCAGAGAGGTTATTTTGGCCACATCTTCTCCACAATGTCCGCAGGAATTCAGGGACGGCAACTGGAGAAGACGATCCTTGACCTCAGGTAAAAATAAGAGGGCTAAAACATTAATGCACTCAAGGAATACCTTTAGCTCCATTGATGAAATGCTCCACTTGGTAGTCCAATACGCCATGAATCCAGATACAACACAAAAATCCTAAAAAAAATAAATAAATAAAAAAGTTAGTAAAACAGATAATCAAAAACATCTTATTTCATAATAATTAATAATAGTAATAAATAATAAAGGTAAAGACAAGCCTTCACAGCGGTCACAATCTACTGTCTCCAGGAAATATTCCAAACTAAGCTTCTTGATGACAAATTAAACCGAGTTAAAAATGCTTTGGCACAACTCAAAGGCCCTGAAATAAACCACCAGGCTGTACCGACCACAGCAGACACCTTCATTAGTTTTATAGCAAATAGTTAAGGATGTTGTCTGGCGTGTTACACCTAACTAAACCAACAGTTCTGAGTTCACTGGCCCCAGGTTGGGAACAACTGACTTGTTGTATTTGTTCCTCAAGAGAGGAATTATTTCACCAACATAAAAGGAAAGTTATAAACTACATGTTTAGGACTATCATTTTTAAATCAGTCATTCAGTGATTCATTCATTTAAACCATTTCATTATTATTATTATTATATGTGTAATTTAAAATAGGAAAAAAAGCCTTTGATTCAACATGATCAAAAATAGAGAAGCTGCATAAATACCTAAGTTGGTGAAGGCAGAACATACACAGTTTAATATTTTTTATCCTGGTTTTGACCGAATTTCCACGATTTCCAACCTGACCACTAGATGTCAGCACCTGCTCCAGTGCTCAATCAAGACTCACATCAATTCTGCTACTGTAAAAGTAGAATTTGTAATTAAAACGCGTTCTTAAACACGTAAATAATAATGATGAACGCCAGATGCAGCAAATGTGTTAGGAAATGACAGAGAAATAACTTCCACAACAACCAGTGGAGCTCTGATTACTGTGTCAGTTTTGTATCTGAATCTGAGCTGTTTTTGCAGTTGAAACTGAATCTGAACATGTTTTTAGTCGTTTTCGGCTCCCTGTTTCAGTCTGAACCTAAAACTGTTGTTGTTCGTTTGCTTTACTTGTTTCTCTCAGACCCAGTCTGAATGTGTTCGTTACAGCGCCCCCTGTGGGATCACGGTGTAACACCAGCGTTGGTTGCTTTCATAGACAGTGGTGGTAAATCAATTTTTTATAACTTACATCAACTAAAAAAATTTACAATTAAATTAGTGCAACAGTACAGTTTACTCTATGTCTTGTATTGTGGTTATTTATTTAATGTTATGGTCCAATAAATTTTTGGTTTAGTTTATTTTTTAATGTTTCATTAAACTGAACGAAATGATGCACGGTGATTAATTTTAAACATTTCATTTATGAATAATTATTCACGTGGCCAACTAATGGTTAAAGTTGTGACTTTACATCAGAAGCTTCCAGCACAGGTAACTTTTAAACTGTTGTTGAGTATTCCGATATTTTCAGCTGACGAGCTAAAGCTAGCGAGCTAACCACATTAACGTTACAAATTTATGAAAACTAAAAGTTTTACATGCTGACCAACACCAACACAGAGGGTGGAAATATGATGGTAATATGTCAAGAAATGTATCTTTAAAGAGTAGAGAGTAACGGAACGAATTACCTGTGATTTTTGATGATACATTTAAGCTCAGTCAAAAAGACTATGAAAAGCTAACGTTACAGATGCTAATACGCGTTAGCTTGTTTGCTTCCCGATGTACCAGAATTCTCAATGACTGCAATTTAATTTATACGTTTAACATAAAATTCAACAGTAAAAAATAATCAAACTTAAATAAAACAACCGCGCGTTTAACTAGAAGAGAGTTTTTCCTGACAAGCAAACTGTTCGTTGTTTTTAAAAAAATAACGAGTATCTTACTTACCTGCTTGTCCTGTTACAAACCACCAATAAGCCCCGCCTTCTGCGCTGCGATTGGTTGACGGTTTATTTTCAGACTTTCTATTGGTTCCGGCAGCTGTCAGTCTTAGCAAATGCCCGTACAGCGGAAATGTATATGAAAGTTCATATCACGAAACTTAATTGTCTAAAATTGTTTTAATTTAAGAATTACAGCCCGAGTCTCACAACTCCCGTGTCTTTACCGGCCGACTGCTTTTCATTTGCCCTGGTCACTGTGTTGTTCCATCGCAGACATGCTAGCTGCTCCCAGCCCAGCTGATGTTTTCACTCAGAACTACACTCTTCGTTGTGTTGCTGTTTTAGAGACTTGGCTCAGAATTGGGCTCAAGGCTTCATATCAGATAAACAGAGACCACGCTTTTCGCAACTCACGAGTTTAATCAACACGTTTCGTTTCATCCAGTTCATCGCATCTTAGCCCATCGTCCTGCTGGGCTGAGATTCGGCCGGTCTGGGAGCTGTCCCCCTAAAGCAGGCCACGAGACACAAATGGCACCAGTTGTTCACTGGAGGACAGTTTTGGCTAAATGTTGTCCTGCACACGTTAAACCAAGAGCCAGAGGATGGACAGGAACTCATCAGACCTGCAGTGGTACTTCTGGGGAAGACCAGAACTAACTTAGTTATGAAGTCTGCTGGCTTGTTTACAAAATTACAATGAATGGAACACGAACTTAAGTCAAAACAACAAACATTGATGATGATAATGATGATGATTATTACCGTATTAATATTATTATTATTGGTTTATGACACAGTACCTGAAGGTCTAAAAACTGAGGGAGGAACAGTTCTGAAACTTAATGAATCTCACCTGCAGGTGAAGGATACCTGGAGGTAAAAAAAACATTGACATTGGAAGGAATATTGTAGCTGATCTCCAAAGGAACTTTCATTATTCTGGATTTGGTTTCAACAGACCTGTAACAATTTCTTTCTAAAGGTGGAAACTACTGGTTTTGGTCTAAGTCCTGGAGCTGTGGAACAAGTGGTACAAATGCCAAAATCCTTGTGGAAACTGGGTTACTGAACACAGAAATAAATAAACTTCTTTCATGATTTTATTTAAACATGCATAAAACCATTTTAAACAGCAGTCTCAGCTGCTCACACTAGCGTAGTTCAAGATCAAACAAAAATAACAAATTGATAACAAACACTGCAATGCTTCTGAAGAAGTTTCTTGTGACCTGGAGGAAACGATCTTCTCTAGAGTCAGTGATGAGACCTCCATAGTTTCTCATGACAAAAACTCAAGATAGGACAAAATCACCTTCCTTCTCATCAGCGTCTACATCCACCAGGACCAGCCATCATAGAGGGAGGTGTTTTCTCGCTCCATCACTGCAGCTCTCCTAAAACCGATTTTAGTCAAAAGAAACTTTTCCAGATTTTAGGACCATTTTATCCTGTTCAAAGGAAGTTTTTCTTTCCCCTGTTGCCTTTCTTACTGTGCTGCTCTGAACAAGGGCAGCATTGGAGTGAAGATTAAATCGAACCAGCTGGTTCATAGAACATACTGGACTAGCTGACATTTTAAACTTTAATATAACAAATATATTTTACTGCAAACAGTTGGCTTAAACCTGGACCTGATCAAAACTGGACTTGTTGCTTTCTGTAAAGTGCTTTGAGATGACTGTTGTTATGACCTGGTTCCATAAAAATGAACTGAATTGATTTGAATTAAATCACTCGTCTCGTCTCGTCTTCCTCCGCTTATCCGGGTCCGGGTCGCGGGGGCAGCATCCCAACTAGGGAGCTCCAGGCCGTCCTCTCCCCGGCCTTGTCCACCAGCTCCTCCGGCAGGACCCCAAGGCGTTCCCGCACCAGATTGGAGATGTAACCTCTCCAACGTGTCCTGGGTCGACCCAGGGGCCTTCTGCCGGCAGGACATGCCCGAAACACCTCCCCGGGGAGGCGTCCAGGAGGCATCCTGACCAGATGCCCAAACCACCTCAACTGGCTCCTTTCGATCCGGAGGAGCAGCGGTTCTACTCCGAGTCCCTCCCGAATGTCTGAGCTCCTCACCCTATCTCTAAGGCTGAGCCCGGCCACCCTACGGAGGAAACTCATTTCGGCCGCTTGTATCCGCGATCTCGTTCTTTCGGTCATTACCCAAAGCTCATGACCATAGGTGAGGATTGGGACGTAGATCGACCGGTAAATCGAGAGCCTGGCTTTCTGGCTCAGCTCCCTCTTCCCCACGACAGATCGGCTCAGCGTCCGCATCACTGCAGACGCCGAACCAATCCGCCTGTCGACAGGCGAATTAAATCACATCACACTGAATTGAACTGAAAACTTGTGGCTAATCCTAAATACAGTAGATGGATAAACAAACAAAAACATGCTCACCTGAACAAATTCCATGCATTGATGATAAAGAATGGGCTGCCATAAGTCAGGATCTGAATCAGAATCCGATTTTACATCGTGTCAGGGCGAGCTGCAGGTCTTGATAAGTGAAGGGCCAACACTGCTGTTTATCTGCATGAACTTTGAGTAATTATCAGTAAAAACCTTTCAATCTGCTGCAGTTTTGCCTCCAGAAATGCTACTCTTCATTCAGAAAAACCTGCCACTTTACCTCAAGAAGTAGAATGGGCATGTGTCTAGTTAAAATATTTGTTTTCCACTTTGTAGCCTACATCCACAATTTGAGGTGCATTTGTTGAGAAAGGCCTGCACGCTGTGTTAATCTTTGTTTTTAATACACTTTTATGTGATAGGTTTACAGAGAAAATATTGTTATATCTGTCAGCAGTTGCACATGTTCTAAATGCACGTTGTTGTTGTCTTTTGTAGTAAGTAGTACGACGGAAAAATGTAAAAAGTGTTGGACACTTTGTGTTCTTATAAGAGATAACCTATAATTTTACAGTCTTTCTCAGCAGGCCTTCCAGTTATAAGCCTGTACGTTTATAATTGTACAGGCGTCTCCGGTGACAGTCTCCCTGGGGTCGCTGTGCTCTGGGGCAGCGCCGGTTTCTCTGGGACTTGGAGCTCCCTCCGTCTCCTACACATCTTGGGGGCAGATCTGTGGCCCCTCACACTCTCTACTGGACGCTCCTATAGAGAAACCTTACATGTACAAGCGCAGGTACGCACACAGGTGCTCACATGGTGCTTTCAAAAGTATGGACTTGGGCATGTCAAGTGAAACATTGTTTTTTCATTTGAATTTATATTGTGCATTGTTGAGTCAGTGCTAAAGAAATACATATAGTTTTGTAATTGATTTATTGCAAAGCCTTGATTTTAGTAAGGTTAGTACACATCGTAGCCATAAATGCTGTGGTTCTAAATACTGACGTAATAATTTCTGTCTGTGTTTCATTTTTCGGCCTTGATTTCCTAATTTTTGGTTTTTAGTTTTGGCCAAGAATTTTCATTTTGGTGCATTCCTAGTACTTTTTATGTTAAAGAAAGTAAAAAGTTAGTATCAGGAGAGGGAGAATGTTCAGTGGTTGTTAGCAGTGTGCCATCCGATGACCCATCAAGGTGGTTATCACAGCTCTGCAGAACGCCAGTGTAGCTTCTTCTGGGGAGTAAAACACTGAAAGAGAGCGTACAGTTAAAGCTACGATAGCAAATCTGGAGAACAAATTAGCTTAAAACATTTTTTTCATGCCTCTTAACAACATTCTAACATAGTATAGTTATAAATAAATTGTGGAGATAAAAAAAAAAGAATGAAGAGGTTCTCTTGCATTTGTCTAAAAACCAATAACGTTTTGGACTGAAAGCCACCATTGGACCTGCAAAAGAACACGACTAATGTGAGAGGTTCTTCGCCCAGTTAGCAGAGAAGGAGAAACAGCCGGCTGCTACCACTTCAAATTTAGGACAAACTACCAGAGTCCCAAAAAGAGAAACACCATTTGAAGTCATGGACAACAAAAGATGTTTGGACCTAGAAAATGGTGACAGGTGTTCAGCGCTATCTCGTTTGCTCTGGGAATGCAGGTGTCCGGTTTCGACAGAAGCGTCTCAGGGAAAATTCCTGAGAAGGGTGAATGTTCCATGACTGTATTTGTGTTCAAAACCTAGCTTGTTCTGTAGATTAGCTAAAGCACCTTTAACAGCTAAAGTAACAGGAAATTATGGGGCACACTGACAGAGGTGAGGCTGCCAAGCACTGGTGGCACTGGTCCCTCCGACCACCACCAGCAGACAAGGTGGGTTAAATGACTTGCCCAAGGACATAATTCCAACAGATGGGTCTTACACCTCCAACCCTTATGGAGCGGGCAGTTTGTTCCTCTGCCACAGCTATTCTAATTATGACGTTTTGCTTTGAAAAAAAACAAACTGTATTTCAAAGAAAAAAAGATTTCAAAACTGGATTTTTTCATTTAAAATGTAACAAAATACGTATTTTACAGCAGCAAAATTAGAACAGTTTAAATCTTCAATAAGCTTTCTGCATTTCACCAAGTGGATTGTCAAACAAATTGAATGTCGTCGTCGTCGTCTTCCTCCGCTTATCCAGGTCCGGGTCGCAGGGGCAGCATCCCAACTAGGGAGCTCCAGAACGTCCTCTCCCCGGCCACCTCCACCAGCTCCTCCGGCAGGACCCCAAGGCGTTCCCGGACCAGATTGGAGATGTAACCTCTCCAACGTGTCCTGGGTCGACCCGGGGGCCTCCTGCCGGCAGGACATGCCTGAAACACCTCCCCAGGGAGGCGTCCAGGAGGCATCCTGACCAGATGCCCAAACCACCTCAACTGACTCCTTTCGATCCGGAGGAGCAGCGGTTCCACTCCGAGTCCCTCCCGAATGTCCGAGCTCCTCACCCTATCTCTAAGGCTGAGCCCGGCCACCCTACGGAGGAAACTCATTTCGGCCGCTTGTATCCGCGATCTCGTTCTTTCGGTCATTACCCAAAGCTCATGACCATAGGTGAGGATTGGGACGTAGATCGACCGGTAAATCGAGAGCCTGGCTTTCTGGCTTAGCTCCCTCTTCACCACGACAGATCGGCTCAGCGTCCGCATCACTGCAGACACCGAACCAATCCGCCTGTCGATCTCCCGATCCCTCCTACCCTCACTCGTGAACAAGACCCCGAGATACTTAAACTCCTCTACTTGAGGTAGGACCTCTCTCCCGACCAGGAGTTGGCAAGCCACCCTTTTCCGGTCGAGAATTGAATGTAAGCAAAAATATATGTTTAATATTTGTATATATATATATATATATATATATATATATATATATATATATATATATATATATATATATATATATATATATATATATATATATATGTATGTATGTATGTATATGTATGTTCAATTCAATTCAAGTTTATTTATATAGCGCCAAATCACGACAAGAGTCGTCTCAAGGCACTTCACATAATAAACATTCCAATTCACAGTTCATTAAGCCAATCAGAAATAATGTGTCCTATATAAGGAACCCAGCAAATTGCATCAAGTCACTGACTAGTATCAGTGACCATATATATGTATATATACATATTAATGTATACGCACACACACACACACACACACACACACACACACACACACACACACACACACACACACACACACACACACACACACACACACACACACACACACACACACACACACACACACACACACACTGTTGTAGTTGTAGAAAATGACCACCAGATGTCACTGAAGAACTGGGTTAATCTTCGTCTTGTTTAGAACAGTTCCTGTTTCTGATTGGCTGGTTTTATTCTCAATAGAATATTTCAGCTTCAGTCATTCAATAAAGTTGTCATCTTTTTGTATTCTTTTAAGTTAGAAAACAGTGGTTCCTGATTACAGATATGGTCACTGACAAATGCACTTCCAGAAGTCTTTGTATTGATGTTTGGCTCTTCTTGTAATAAAACGAATATTTTACATCTTGTTTTCTGGATAATTCTTATTTTTACATCTTTGCTTGAAGCCACATGCCAGCAGTAAGGTGTGTTTTCCTGGCCTTGTGTTACAAACATTTCTGATAATTTCAGGGAGAAATAACAGGAGCTGGTGGTGGACACGCCGTGTGGACACGGAAACGTGATGAGATGATACCTGATGGACTCTCCATCCCAGGGTTCATGTTTAGTATTAAGATGAGCTGGGTTCCTGGTAAGCTACTTTGTTTATGGATGGTTGCTCTAGTAACCAGCTAGTTTCTGTAAAAAACAATCCCAAACCAGCGCCAGAATTAGCGTCAAATTCTCATTTAAAATAATGATGGCACACTCCAGATTTAACCCAGGTCAGAGACACTTTATTCCCTAAATCTCACAGAATTATTGGACCTGATTATCTTATTGACTACCTTACGTTATTATTACATTAATATTATCACCCTGACACCATACCGTAAACATCTGTCTCCTCAATTGTTCTGGCAGAAGCTGGAGCTGTTTCATTCGAGGAGGCTTTGGAGACCAGACCCTGTGGTCCAGGTTTCAGGGAGTCTTTCACAGAAACCACAGCTTGAGCCCGAGCTCCTGGGAAGTGGAAATTTTACTTTCCTGTTGAAGCTCTCATCAGTTTTGCTGGTGATTTATTTTTTTCAATAATCTGTATTTATTTATTTATTTTTCTGGTCAGAATGTTGAGTAAATAAGTCGTATACCCTGAAGAACAATTTCCTATCTGCTCTGGTGAAGAGGAAAGGATGGTGGTTTGGGGTTTTGGGATGCAGGTTAGCCAGCTTTTTGTGCTTGTTGGAAACTTCCCAAATGTGGCAGCAGGTCAGAGTTTAATGTTGCACTAACAAATGCTGGTAACTAAGTTTGAGTTAACAGGAAACACAATTACTGTTCTGGGTTGAGAACACTTTGTGGTTAAAGCTCCTCTCCGTATTTACACGATCATATTTAATCTGCCTCCTCCAGCACACTGCAGCTGGGACTTTTTCTTAATCTAAACTGCAGGAATGACCGGATATTACCACTGAACTTTCCCCAGCTCAACCAGGACAAAACTGGAGTTTTAGTCATCGGTCCTGAGGCCCAGAGAGAGAAGCTTTTACCGAAATTACAATAAATGTCTTTTATTCCATCTGAACAAGTGAAGAACCTGGGTGTGATTTTTGACTCTGAGCTGACTTTTATCCCACACATTAAAAATATCACAAAAATAGGTTTTTATCATCTAAAGAACATCGCCAGAGTCCGCCCCATTCTCTCTCGGGCCAACACGGAGACGCTGATGCATGCTTTTATCACCAGTAGGATAGACTACTGCAATGCCCTGCTTTCTGGTCTTCCTAAAAAGAGCATCTCAGGCTTACAACTTCTACAAAATTCGGCAGCACGTGTCCTGATGAAGACCAGGAGGCGGGAGCACATGACACCAGTTGTAGAATCATTGCATTGACTCCCCGTATGTTTCAGGATCCATTTTAAGGTTCTTCTAATGGTTTTTAAGTGTCTCAATGGTCTTGGGCCATCTTATCTCTCACAACTGTTTTTACCATGTGAACCCTCACAGCCTCTGCGCTCCTCTGGCAGGCGTCTCCTGGTCATCCCTAAAGTCAGGACGCACACTCACGGTGAGGCGTCCTTCCAGTGTCATGGCCCTTGCCTCTGGAACGAGCTGCCAGAGGACCTCAGGGCCGCAGAGAATGTTCATGTTTTTAAGTCCAGGCTCAAGACCCATCCTTTTAGGTTAGCTTTTATCTAAATATTTACTACAGTTTTATTTCTCGTTTTACATGATTATATTTTATTACTTGCTTTGCATGTTCTATATGATTATATTTTAGCACAGTTTTATTATTTAAATTATTATTTTACTGTCTATATCATTTTATTTATTATTTATTTTCTAATTTTTGTCATTTATATTAGCTCTTTTATTATATTTTTCCTCATTTTAATCCAGTATTTCCTCTGTAGGGGCCCTCTGCCCCGGGAGCGGTGGTCGACTGTAGCTTCCTGGGCGCTCTATAGGTGGGGGTCTATGCTCCCCCTCCACTGAGCGCCCTGACTTAGTGTGGAAGACCTGATGCTGCCGGGACAGATGGCTCCTCTGATGGCGTTTCCTTGCGTTACCATACTTGGCTCATCTGGACTCAGCCTAATATAATTTTTACTTTTGTGTGTGCGTGTGCTTGCATATGTCTGTTAATGTTTTTAACCTGTTATGGGAATCTGGGGTCATTTTGTAAAGCACTTTGAATCACACTTTGTTTGAAAAGCGCTTTATAAATAAATTTGATTGATTGATTGATTGAATGCTAAATGTCAGTGCTAACTGAACCACCGTTTGCCATGTCAGCAAGCAGCTAGCAGTAATCTAACAACTCATAGAAAACTTTTACTGATTATGTCTGAACTCACAGGACTTAGATGGACTAAGAGAGACTCAACAGTTCCAGCCCATCACAAGATTATCATGACCCAATTCATCCTTTCAGACTAAGTGGACGCCCCAGATCACTGTAATGGCTATAAAGATAATCTTGTCAGATATTCCTGCTGTGTGTGGTGTGTGTGAAAAGTACTCTGGTCTGATTGCAAGTGAAGTCTTCTTAACCCTCTGGAGGCAGACGTTGCAGATTTGCAACTTTAAAACCTACCTACCTGATTACTCCACATACGTATTTCATGAGCATTTTTTAACTCAGAAGTACCCCTGAAGGACTTAGTTGTTCGTCATTTTATCAAAACTTATTTTGAGCCTGAGCGGGTTCATCCAAAGGGTTCAAATGAAGGCAACTGGACTTCTTTGGTTTCTTGAAGACATTTTGCTTCAAGTTCAGTTGCCTCTGTAACGGCATGAAGGTTCTCTGATTTGTGCCAAAGGTCACATTTGCCCAGCTGGGTCAAGCTGGGTCAAACAGTACTTTGAATCCACAGATTAAAGACCAAGGAGCCACGATGCCTAGCCAAGATCATAACATCATCTGCTGTTCCGTCCCAGAAGAAGGACACTTCAAGCCACGATGATATTAAATAATAATTAATAAACTTTTGATTTTATTACTGTTTAAATAATCATTAATACATGATCACTTGGTTCAGATATAAAGGTATTTTAATTACATGAAATGGATTATTATACTTTGGGTATTATAATGATAATTACTATAATGATTAAAGATGTGTTCAGCAAAGAAGACCTTCAGTGTCAGCTAACACAGAGTTCAGATAAACAATAACTGCAGCACGTTTTTTTGACGCATGACCAAGTTTTCTTCCGGAGAGAGAGGGAGGGGTTCTGAGAGAGTTTGGTAAAAACTAACCATTACAGATTTCACGTCCAGTTCTTCAACCAACACCACGAGGAAAGGAGAGCGGCCGTCTCCTTGACCCTCTGCAAGCTGTTCTGTCATGCCGACAAGAATGGCTAAAGAACAAACAAACCGTAAACCAGCTAACTCAAGACTCTCCCAGAGTCATTGATTTCTGAAGTTAATTTAAATACGACAACGTGCATCTGCCAAACGCTTCGTACAGCCGTGTACCCAGGACATCCCTGGACCAGACCATCGGCACTTGCGTCTACCCTACCAGCCGAAGTGCCACCTTGGACGAAACCATCCTCCTGATGTCCAGATCCGCAAAGGGGGACCTATTTGGGTGAGGTAGAACACGATAGAATGCATTTGATGCTGTTTTCTCTAAAAAATAACTCAGTTATCTGCAAAACATCATTTCATCCAGAACACCTTCCATTCCCTCTGAAAGAAACTGTCACGTTGCGGGTGTGGAGATGATGGGCCGTGTGAGGTGGAGCTGATCAGGAGGTACAGATGCAGGCTTCAGGTAAAGTAAAATGGTTTTAATGGTGGAACGGGAACGAGCGAAACAAGACAACGATGACAAAAACTACAATGATCTGACAAAGACTGATACAAGGAGGGAGGTATAAATACACAGGGCAAACGAGGAACACATGGGCAGGTAAACAAGGGGCAGGTGAAAACAATAAGGACTAATCAAGGGCAGGAGAGAGACACAGGCCCTGTCCACACGTAGCCGGGGATCTGCCAAAACGTAGATATTTTTCTACGTTTTGGCCTGTCATCCACACGAAAACGGAGTTTTTTTCACACGAGAACAGATCTTTTTAAAAACTCCGGCCAAAGTGAAGATCTGCGTTTTCTCCGTTTTGGGTGTCTGCGTGTGGACAGACAAAACCGGAGTTTTAAGGTCTGCAACGTCACTTTCCACGACAACAAAATGCTGACATCACGTGTGCGACCTGTGTTTACACTAGCCGACAGCATGGATGCCCTCAGAGCTGCGCTCGCTTTATCAATTGTCCAAGCGCTTTTTGCTTGTTTGTTTTTGCAAGCGGAATTACTGCTCCTTGCGGAAGACCACAGACGAAGGACGAGGTTAAGAACGGGGGAAGTACTGCCGCCTACAGGTCTGGCATGTCCTTAACAACGTATTTATCCGGGTACGTGTGGACAGAGTTTTTTTAAAACGAGGTGGTGCGGATGCAAGTTTTTGGAGGGGCGGATATTCGTTTAAAAAAAAACCCAGCTACATGTGGACTAGGCCACAGTCAGGGAGGCAGGGGCAGACCGTGACAGAAACCTTCTGAGAATTGCATTCACACATTCAAAACTCATCATTCTCAATTTTAGCTCCATCCAACACAGGTTTGCTTTTAAACAAGTAATATCACAGCTGTTAAGGATTGTCATTAAAACTGCCATCCATGAATTGTCATTTTTTTATAATTGTCCCTTCAAATTTTCAGTTTAAAATTGTTAGTAAATAAATTTCTTCATTTTTAAACTTGCCCCATTATTGAAACGAAACACAGAAAAGGGTTGCATTTCCAGTTTATCGAATGAAAAGAATCTTACTGAATCTTATGTTTAATAAATAAACTTTGCTCTTAATTTAAATCTCAAATGAATATTTCACACCACAACACCTTAATTTGAACCCTTTGGATTACCATGACCGGAATGACTGAGAACCTTCACCAGCATATGGAGTCTTCTTCCTCTCCCTACATGTTTGTTTATTTCAATGTCACATTTGATCTTGAGAGTTTTTGCGGGATTTCCTGTTTTACTGGGGAATGTTTGAGAGTGGAACTGGTTTGTGTGTTTCTGATCAGTTACACCTAATTCCTGCAGCCGGTTTTAGAACAATCAAACTATTTGTTTACAGTGTATGTGTAAAGCATGAAAAGAGTAGAGTGCTCCCTTCTTGCTGTGGTGATAATGACCCTTTGCTGTTTGGTGTAAACATGCATTATGTAATCATCAAACCCACTGATGAGAGCACAAACTGAATCATTCCCATTCCCACTTCGGCTGTAAAGATGAGTTCCCGAAGCAGGAATTCCCGATTGTAAACAAGAATGTGGAATGAGACAGGAACCTTTTCCCCTGAAGCTGTTCCGCCAGCGATGACTAACCCTGTTGTTCTAAGTGTTCACATCAAATTAAGCATTACAGAGTGCCACAAGCTTTAAAACCTTCAGAAAATTTCTCATGAAAACTGTCACAGTCCATTTTTGCAACTAGCAGTGTTTTTTTTTTTTTCCTGTTTGTGTTGTTGTGCAGAGCAGAGTAAAAGCAGCTTAGGGACCACTCTCTTGTTCCTGGTTCTGGGAGAAAATGGTGAATGTTCACTTGAGCAGAAAGATCTTTTTCGAAAGCTCAGGGACAAAAACACAGAAAGCTAAGAGAATCACAACACTCAAAATGTTCTTCCAGTTTGTTTTGGTCTCAAGAGACGATGGAGACAAAACGGGAGTGTGAACTGAGCCTGGCATCGAACCGTCTCGTGTGCTGGAAATAAACATCTCTTACATTTTTTCAGTCAGTCAAATCCACCACAGTTTATTATTTTTTGTCATCTTTTCAAGTATGAAAATAACAATATTTAAAATAAATAACAATATATAATGACACAACTGTCATTGGGACTCAGGTGTATCACCATAGGTACCACATAACCATGAAAGAGCTGAGGAACGTTTCTCTTTTAGAGACCAGATGAAGGAATGACAGCAGAGTGCTGCTGATTCCTGCTCACAATAAACTCCTGGATTAAACAACAAAAAAACAACAAGACAGGCCAGACCTTTAGAAGCAGATTGCTGTTTAATGTTGTGAAAAATATATATCTGATCTGCTCTGTGCAGTTTGCAGATTTAAATGTTACTTTGAACAAGCTAACAGCTAGTCTGAGCTCACAGCTACTCTGATCTCCCAGCTTGTTTGAGTTAAAAGCTAGCTAACAGCTAGTCTAAGCTAACAGTTACTCTGAGCTAACAGTTAAGACCAACGTGTGAATCTGATGTTTCAGTGATTTATACTAACATTGCTTTATGAATGTTTATGTTGCAGTAAATCTTGAATTTTTATATTAATATTTATTTTTGATGTTATTATCAGCAAAAATGAGCGGTGCAGCCAGCTAGCTGTATCACTCCTGATTCAGTGTGGGACTTTTTTCATCGGTTTCATCTCATTTGTCAGACATTTTGGAAACTATAGCTTAAAAAAAAGGCAGACATCTTTTTTGTAACTGGCTCTATTGTGTCTAGCTGTTAGCTTGTCAATCCAGTCAGAACTAATCTTTGTTTCTCTGAGTGGAGGCTGTTCACCAAGCAGATTAGATATTACATTTTTATAAAGGTTCCACAGAAATTCACTTCTAAAGACTTGACCCGCCCCCCTCCAGCTTCCTTTCTTTCACCATTACATTCTTTACAATAGTGCACAAATACATGCTCCTTAGAGAACATTTAGAATTTTTATTTTACCCCCCAAAACTGGATGAAGTTGAGAACAGCTGCTCCACTACAACAGATAATCAAAATGAGAACAACAAACTTCATTGGTGGCGTCAGTTATAACTATCTGGGCATATTTTACAACCATAGCTCACTACCACTTGAAAGGGAATTAAATAATAATAATGACAGAACGATGAGTTTTGTTTACAATTAGACGGTAAAATGGCAGGTTCATCAGAATGTGGTGCTAGTGAGCTGCTGGAGCAGGAATGTGGACTCCCATGACCACATACGTCCAAGATGTTTTACATTGAGTGGTTTGCTTTATTTGATTTAGTTGTGACAACTCACCTGGATTTTATCCCCACAGATCTGATATTTATATATTTACAGGTAACCAGTAAACTGAGTTACTGCTCATCACAGTTAAAGTGGGTGGAAAGTTTCAAGGACGGGCATCTCCCTCTGCAGCTACGTTACATCTCCGCTCAGCTGAGGAGTTTTGTTCCAAAAACACTTTGGACACTAACTTTCACACATCAGGGAGACAATCCACACATGGAAGCACAATGCGGTCAGAGCAAGGAAATAAATAAAGAACCAGTAGCTCAGTGTCTAAAACAAGAAAGTTTATTGTTATAATAAAAAACCTGATGAAATGAGATGGTGCTTCATTATTAATTTTCTTGCTGTAACAGCAATATGTTTCCATATCCACAAGCTTTTCAAACTGTTTATTTTTAAATTAATATCAACACTAAACTCTACAAACTCCCAAGTTTTATTTAAAGTGGGGTGAAAATGGAGTCAGTTCACCTGAGATCAGCAGCTTTCAGCTCGTTGCTTTGGTTTTCTGGCTGGTGCATTCAAAGTTTTGGTTCAGTTTTTCTGCTCCTATCAACAAAACGCTGCAACAGCAAACAGAAGACAAACACAAGCGAGAAGCTGATGGACACAAAGACAAGTCTGGCAGCAAAACGCCTTGTTTCAGTATGGAGGTCAGAGCTTGTCTAGGGCTGAAACTGCTCTCATTACCATCTAGCTCTATGTGTATAAATAGTCAGATACTCTCTCTAATATTTACAGCATCTTTTTTAATAAAAGATGGATCTATGAAGTTAAAATCAGTAGTTAAATGTTTCTACATTATATTTCTGTTTCATCAGATGTCTTAGTTCTTTCACTTGAAAATCCCAAAATATCCAACTCCTCCCTGTCAAACAGCTGATAGTTTTGTTAGCCCCACCCCCTCACAGTAACCCCCTCCTCTCATTGGTCAACTCCAGTGATGTAATCAGGCTCACCAAGAGGGCAGGATGAACAATCATCTCCTAATTTAATCTCTAAATTAATCAAAAATAAAGAAATTGGCTGTGTTATTTAAAAAAAGGCTAGTGACATTTATCATTTACATATTATCTACAAACCTTTAAATATTTAATTTGATTCTACAGCTATTTTAAATTGTTATGTTTATCAGATGTGTCTAAAGAATGACATTGATGTGATGACAATTTATGTTGCTGCAACAAAAAATGTCATTAATGAAAATTACAGAACCTTTCATTCTTAAAGTTTACAGTTGACTAAATCAAACCCAACAGTCTGTAGAAATATGCCTCATTGTTCTACCTGAACTTTAAAACAGCCACATTCAGAAAACAAGAAGGAATAATTCCAATTTGGTCTAAAGTCAAATCAGCCGGGAGCTAAAAATTAACTCAGTCTGGGTCTAATGCAGGTTTTGGTCACATCGTGCAGAAATGGCTCAAATCTGTGCACAAGAATCAATGGAAACTTGGCAACCAATAAAGGGCAGGAGCTGCTTGGACACAGCTGGTCTGGATAAAGAGCCAGGAAGAGATTAACATCACTTAGAAAGCCTACAGGGTGAAAAGCTAATCAGGGGTATGAATCTTTAAAGTTTAAGTGGTTTTGTTTGCATTATTAGGCGAGTGTCTTTCCCTGTAACGACCCAATCCAGCGTTTCGTAGAACAGCATCGACCACCAGAGGCTGCAGCTCCATTTCTGCTCATTCCTTCAACCCACCAAAGCATTTGAACAAGAATGTTGTTGCAAGGCAAGGCCAGAGAGGTGGTTTGGACTTTCCCGTTTGAATCACTCCAAAAGTGGTTCGAAGGTTAGAGCTCACTATTCCAAACGGCACTATAGCTGTATCCGTGACTTTATTAAACCCTCTTTAACAACACATGGTGCACACGTGTTCTTGTGGAACAAAACTCTTCAGACAGAAACCTGGAATGTGATCCTGGAAAGTGGATGAAAGACCGGTCGATGACAGCACGACACCCTAATGACAAACACAAGGACCGGAAGAACAAAACCAAATGTAAAACAAAAATCTGAATGTTTGACAGCTTTCCTCACTTCCTCTGGGCCTCGGGAACGGGATTCCGCTGGGACGTTTCCAGTCAGCTTCGGTCCAGAGGCACGACTTTACTCTGATGATCGTAGCAAAAATAAAAGTGCACAAAGGAACGGAACAGACACTTTTCATGGCTGCTCAGCAAAGCGAAGCAGCGCTGCACATTCAGATCCAGGTCACACAGATAGCACGGTCAGCTTTTGATGCACTAACTAACCTTCCAGAGTTCCTCTCCCCTGTCCCAGTTCTCTCCAGAAGGTTTAAGTCTAGTACCCCCCGAGGTCTAGGAGGCTGGTGCAGGGGCTCAGGAAGTGTTCTAGTCTAACTGCAGCGAGGACAGCTGGAGGTTCCTCTCAAAGCACACACGCTGGTTTCCTTCTTCATAGTGAAGTCGACTGCTTGATGCTGTGGAAACTGACCCGTGAAGGGGATGTTGGGATGGACATGGCCTGGGTCATCCTGGCACGGATGGAGTGCTGCTCCTGCCATCGATGGAACCGCTTCCTCACAGCTGAACGGACCTGCGAGCGACATCAGAACCAGAACAGTTCTTTGTTTTCTAAAAAGGTCTTAAAATGATTCTAAGCAGGTCCAGAAAACGTGTAGCATGGCAAGCCATCACAGAGGGGGAAAAAAAAGGGTTTGATGTAAATAAACTGTCACTAAATTTAGAGAAAACAACATTTATGTTGTTTGGAAATGAAAGCAGATACAATGAATTGAATATTGTAATTAATAATGTAAAAATTGAAAGAATATATGAAACAAAATTTCTTGGGGTGGTCATAGACAGCAGAATCTGTTGGAAGCCACACATCAAATATGTTAGGGGGAAGCTTGCACGGGGCATTGCTATATTGGGGAAGCTAAGTATATTTTTAATCAGAAAGCACTTTATATGTTATACAATATGATGCTACTGCCATATTTGAGCTATTGTGTAGCGGTCTGGGGAAACACGTACAAAAGTAATTTACAAACAATAACGACAATGCAGAAAAGGGCTATCAGATTAATAACATGCAGGATATTTGGATCACACAAATGAACTTTTTATTAAAACACGGACAATGACGTTCCAGGACTTGGTTAAATACAAAACAGCACAAATAATGTATAAAGTAAGAAATAAATTAATGCCTGATAAAATACAGAAACTGTTCACAGAGAGAGAGAAGGAGTATATAACCTGAGAGGGACACTAAACTTAAAGATACATAAGTTTAGAACAACATTAAAACAGATGTGTATCACAATAATAGGGGTTAAATTATGGAATAATTTAGAAGAAGAAATCAAAGTAAGTACAAATAAAAATGTGTTTAAAATGAATTATAAAAAACATATTCTAAAGAAGTATATAGTGGAAAATAGATGATTTATGTGGTTGTCCTTAATTCTAAGGAAAATAAAATATGAGCATCAGTTGTAAAAAGATGTGTTTTTCTTTCTTTTTTTTTTCTTTTTTTTCTATATGGTTGTGTGTTTTTTTGGTGACTTGTACCATTTTGTTTGTTTTAATGTGGTTTTGTGTTACATTTAGTAAACAAGTAAAATGACTTGTATAAAGGGGTAGGGACATATAAGTTTCGACTTCAGCCTACTCCTTTTCAGACAGAGAAGAAGAAAAAAGGGACGATGATAGTTTTTCAGTTTTTTTTTAAATTGTGTATGTTTTCTTTGTTTGAAATAAACTAAACAAAAAAATATATATATATGTAAATATAAAGGATGGCCATGACCCATAGACAGAGCTCGGTTGTGTGTGTGTGTGTGTGTGTGGGTGGGTGGGTGGGTCCTACTGTTGTCTTTCAAACACGCAATTGGACGTCGCCAGGACCAATCGGACAAAAACATCAACGTAAATACAACCATAAACCTATTTCAGAATAGTTCAACCCATAATTATGTTAGAATTCTAGTCTGAAATGAGAGGACTTAATTCTTCAGCTAAATGTTTTTTGTTTCTGTTACATGAGGCTGCAGGGATCCTTTGATCACCGTTCATTCCCCTTCCTACTGCTCCTACCTCCATCAGTCTCTCTGTGTGCTCTGGGATTCACATGCTGCTTGATCTTTGTTGGAATTACAGTTGATGACGAGATATTCACTCATCATTCAGCAGCGTTCACTGTGAAGCTCACTAAGTGATATTTTGTCTACGCGCTGCAGGAAAAATAACTTGTAATGATTTATCTGCGGCGCTGTGCTCTAGAGCCAAATTGGACCAGATCCTTCTGACTGACATTTACCTTCACGTGGCTCAGCCGCCTCTATTAACGTCTGTTTAGTAATGAGAGCGTTGATTGGCACTTTTGAGGGAATAATTGGACTTGTCATATCAAGCTGCCTCTTTGGATTCAAATCAATAAAAAATCCCAAAAATTCATTTACACTTTTTTTTTTCGTTGATGAACGATAAAAGTCCTGCAGGAGTTCAGATACTCTTCAGACATTTATGTTCACAGACATTCCTTTATCACAACAGTTACATACCAACTCCTAAAAAACCTCATGTAACACCATCATCGGCTGAGTTTCCGTACGTGTGTGTTTGTCCTCGTATGAAGAACAACCGTATCAGTATTGACTACTGGCCACGTTTAACTGGAACATAAAGCCCAAGATGCTTTTCTTTAACCATCCAACGCCACGCCCACGGGACAAAACACATAACAGTCATGGGATTCAGCATTTTAAGGGGTTTATTCTGTCTAAAACTGTAAAATTAACATTTTGAAGGGTGAGTAGAATAATGTTTGTATTTTATCAGGGTTTCCCCAAGTGCTTTAGGCCTTGCTTGGGCCCCTGCCAAGCCAAGACACCCCCCCCCCCCCCCCCCCCCCCGCTGCCATGGACGATGCACAGTAGTGAAAAAAAAACTAACAAATGAGGAGGAAAGTATCCTGTTACACCCTGGAACAGTGCTTCAACATTCTTCTTTGTTTTCCTCTCTTCCAACGAAGTCGTTAGCATTAGATTGGGCTAGCATTAGCGGCAGCTTAGCCTAGCTTTTTTCTGTGGTTGGCATCACAGCGACCAAAGTTTATATAATGCTGAAGTGGTTTAGAACACAGTGTCTCAGCTTATGATGCTTTAAATCAGCTTTTTCCAGAATGAGCGATTTCTCCCTTGCCTTTGCAGTCCAGCATGTTAAACTGCGGCTACATTTCAACTAGATTTGCACAGATTTCATCATTTATTCGCCGTTTCACCTTACAGAAACACATTTTTTCATGTCTCCAACAATCTGCGACAGACCATCCACTTCCTGACACATGCTGGAATATTTTAACCACAACCCCTTAAGAAAACAGCAAGGGTCTAACACCAGGAAATGGGACTCAGCGCAAGTCTTCAAGCCAGAGATCTACTGTAGCTCCCTACAGGACAAAACTGACTCAAATAACCTTAAAGGTGACGCCTCAGTCATTCTGAGGGGATTTCACCCCTCATTTCTCTCTGGATCCAAATCAGGGCCGGTGCCGTCACGCAATGTAGAAAGTGATGTCACTTGTGTCGTCATGTGACAAGTCTTAATTGTGCCCTAAATAAATTTTCCTCTAGCTGTGAAAACACACAGCAAACAGCCAGAGAGACGAGTGAGGAGGTGCCGCAGAGGAGGGGAAGAAGACTGAAACGTTAAATCAATAAGCCGATGTAAATGTGCTTACCTCACTGTTTAGGAAGCAGTAAAATACTGACACGAAGAAGCCCTGTGTGAGAGGAGGGGGGAGATAAAGAGAGGACAAAACGTTATCAGAGGGGAGGGCATCCAAAACATCAGTGATCCGCTTTAAATTGTATCTATTGCCAATTATCACACGTTTAACCATCCCAGCTGTGTTCTGCTGTCCAGTCATCACAGTTACACCCAAAATCAAACCCTTGAAATGTCCACCAATCCCGAGGAGTCGCTACACTCCGTTTGTCTCAGTCTGCTGGATAAATCACCTGGAACGACTCCAGAAACGAGTTGAAATATATGAAGACGATTTGAGAGATCTCATCCTCGCCTGGGTTAACAAAAAACAGCATGTAGGTGATCCCCAGGAGGGGAAGGAGAACCAGCGTGGCCTTCACAGCTTTCCTGCAGACAAGAACGTCCATCAGACCACCATGACAGTAAAAAGGTCCTTCATGGTCCCTTTGTCAAGCTTCAGCCTTCCAAAGGGACCGTGAACAGTCCAAGGCGTGTTTGTTTCTCGCACCGTCAGCAGCAGCAGATAACCTACCTGTACTGGATGGTCTCAGAGGTCGTAGAAGCTCGTAGTTTGGTCATCAGGATTCTCACAATGTTGAAGAGGAAAATGAAGTTGATCTGTGAGGAAATCAAACACAACAGAGTGAGAAGTGCTTCAGTGTCAGAGAGAAGGTTTGGGTTTAATCTGCATCTCATTTCCATCTTTGTCCCGTTGTTACGGACCTTCAGAAAGTCAAACTGAGGGAATCCTGTTAAAGCTAATCTTTGGGGTTTGGGTTCCTTCCGCCATTCTGTATTCAGGTCCTATAGCAACTTAAACATGTTTCACTGGGTTGTTGGCTCTAAGGAGGCTTCTGAGCCAGCCAGAGAATAAAGGCGTGTTTTCCTTACGAATTAAACCACAAACAAGTGAAGTGCTGCAGGACTCTGCTGGAGCAGATCCTCATGCATCCTGGGAAATCGTGATCCTAACAAATCCCATTAAAGACAACTGGATGTGAAAAAAGAAACCAAGTCCATTTGCTTTGGATTCAACTTGCTGACTAAAATAGTTGATTTGAACAAATTCGCCCAACAAGCAGAACAAAAGATGAGCAGTAAACATTTGTTGAATGTCTGCAGGTCTTTGTTTATCCATTCATCCATTAAACCATCTAAACATCCGCCCATCCATCCCTCTCCCCAGCCACTTGGGCCAACTCCTCTGGGGAAATCCAAACGTGTTCCCCGTCCAGCCGAGAGACATGGTACCTCCAGCATGTCCTGGGTCTTCCTTTAGGTCTCCTCCTGGTTAGACGTGCCTGGCAAACCTCACCTGGGGGGTGTCCCGACCAGATGTGGAGGAGCAGCGGATCTACTCTGAGCCCCTCTCAGAAGACAGAGCTTCTCACCCTATCTCTAAGGGAGAGCCACCATGTGGAGAAACCTCATTTTGGCTGCTTGTATCCGTGATCTCGTCCTTTCTGTCACTACATGAAGCTTGTTAGCTTCGGTTGATTCTTCATCACTACCCTCTCCTCATTCAGCTCTTTTTACCAATTCTGCATTTCCCAGGATCCACTGATGACCGTTTCCTTATTCATTTTTGTTTTCCCTTTTCTCACATTTCACTTTTCCCATTTTTATGATATTTTGTAGTCATTTAAAAAATTTCATTGTTTTGTATTTTTTTGTTCAAGACCACGAGTCTTAATAACATTTATAAACACATGTCTCACATGACCTACATAGCTGGTATCCCGTGAAACAGCCTGTTAAACTAGGAAAAATACAGACTCAAAACTACCGATAAAAATTCTGACATGGCTGGAGGAGTTGGAAATGTGTCGGGGTTAGCGAAAAGGTATGTTCTCATGGTATGTTCTCATAATTTTACCTGTTGGTTTTGTCTTCATATCACATAAATGATGTGTAAAGACCTAAATGTTCACTTGTCAACTGAATAATTAGCCTCAGCACGTTATGTGGACACTTACAAGGAAAGGTTTTCAACATTAGTTAGATTTTTGTGGGTGTAATTCTGTGGTTGTTCATTAGAAAACCTATCACCAACTAGGGGTTGTATGAACTAGTTGACTAGTCGACTTCACGGCTCTGTAGTGACTTTTTATGCCTGTCATTGACTAGTAGCTGTCACGTGATAATGACTGACAAGATGCAGTCCTCGGAAAAGACAGCAGGTGATGAGCCCCTGCGTCGGGAGGCGGAGGCGACGCGCTGTGCCAGAGCGTCGGTACTGACACCGGCGGTAAAACGGACATTTAACCAAACTGTGACCTTTTCCCTCTTGCAATTTAACCTTCCCCTCACCCCCATCCTAATCTTAACCAGTTTGCGCATGCAAAGCTCTGATCGTTGACGCGCTCCAGACATTTGCGTCCTGAGCACCGCCAAATCAGGTGTCACCACCTCAAAAACAAATTAAACACGTGATCGTTCATGTCGGCTCATTTCCTTTTATGTTTTCTGTCTGTTATTTGTGCCTGAAGCGTTTCACTGCTGCGGAGCGAGGCGCATCACCTGTTTTGTCCTCCGGTGACGCACCCCCAAAATTCCACTATCTCCGCTCCGGCACGAACTCCGCAGCAAAAACGGTCCCGTTGTAGTCGGCCGGCGAGCAGCGGCACTCCGCTGTTTTTGCGGTCGGTAGATCGTTTAGAACTGCAGTTCAAAGGTAACTCATAAGGTGAATATAAATGAACCCAGGTAGCAGTTTTTCTTTAGGATTGAGAGGAGATGCAGGAAGATAATAAACAGACAGGACAGAAAAATAGTCAAATAAAAACAAGTTAGTTTTTGTACCTGCTGGTTGCAACAAACAGACACCATTGAAGGTAATCGGAAGTGAGGAACAGAAAATTAAATAATTATTTTAATGTTTAGAGCAGCAGGAACTCCGAGAGGCTGCAGGCGCATCAGTGAGTTTGCGGCTGCTGCGCGGGGGTGGGGGGTGGGGGGGTGCTCAAGCAGGATGCAGAAACTATCGTTATTAAAAGAGATGTGTTTAACTTAGAAAATGTGGGCGCAATTTTAATGATCAAAAACTCCAGCGAACCTACCGACCCCCCCCCCCCCCCCCGTGCCGCTTCAGGTGTATGACGCCATCAACGACTAGTCAAAGTCGACTCGATTTTCATTACTTGACTGTCGACTTTTTAAAAAATTAAGTCATGCAACCCCTATCACCAACAGCAGCTCGCTGTAGCTCCTGATCTAGAGGTCGAGTCCAGCAGGATGCTCTAAATATTTCTGGTAGAACAAGTCTATCTACAACCTGTAGGAGATATGTAGAACTCTAAAACAGAAAAATTTCTTAACTGTGGATTTTATCAGTGCCAATATTCATCTTGAGATAGTTTCACAAATAAATGATCTGATTTTCTCCTGCAGCATCTTCCTGGGCAGCAGGAGGACGTTTCCTGAAATAACTGCAGTGTGGTGGTGCTGAGGTTCATGTCACCCGGCACGAACAGCTTCTGCATTACAGCGGAGCCCCATGACAATAATGCGCTGAGCTCGGAGGAGGATTTACTGACAGCGGAGAGAATATGGCATAATGCAGCCTTGTTAGGAAGACAAAAACTGTATCATAAGTGCTGCTTGAGATTATCACTCCAAAGTGATGAATGATAAAATCAATAGCTCCTCCAACAAGGGGGGGGGGGGGGGGCTTGATGTAACAGGGAGGCAAAAAATAGACACAAGAATACTTTCCACTCGCAGATGACCCGACCTTGGCTGAACAAATGTACAGAGGGCTTTCTAGAAATACACACATCTGCTCCACACCAGCCTCACTCATTTATGTTAACAGCTTCATATCATTCTGATTTCATTCGCTGCAGCAGGACATCACTTAATTCCTTGGATATGAAGGCATTCAGAGTTCATGACCCTCACAAGGAAAAACCACAAACACGCAGGCGACCCAGTGGTGGTCCCGCAGGATCAAGAGCGCGACAAAGACACAAGAGCCCGGGAGAACACGCTGTTGTGAGAGGGACTGGATCCTTCTCAAAACAAAGACAAAGGGAGATTCAATGAGGCAGATGTGAGCTTGAGGGAGACAAAAACAGTCCAGAGAGGAGCCTCTTAAAGAGAAGATTTTTTTTGTTTTTCCACTTAAGTGCAGAAGAAGGGGAAGGTCATTGCAGCAGTGTATCGCTGGCAGCGACGAAGCCAAACCCTCTTAGTGAGAGCGGCTCTGGCAGAGGAGACGGTTTGTGTGACGGCAGGTGGACGGAGGCCAAAAATAGCGAAGGAAGTGTTCAGATCATTGAGTGCTACTGTAGCCTCAATCGTAAAAATACTCAGTCACACCTGCTCGTCAACTATGAAGATAATGGAACCCAAAAAAGCAGCTCAGAGTTTGCAACAAATGACAGGAGAGCTTACACAAAACCCTCCTGCTCACTGACATCCTCTCCCTTTTTAAATAAATACAACATTTTAATGCATGTAGCTGTCAGAGATGGGAGGATGTTTTCACTTTTAATAAGTTATTCTAAATGTGGAGGAGCTAGTAGATGGTTCAAAACCGTCACGTTGTAGAAAATACCAGATCCCTGACGATATATATATATATATATATATGTATATATATGTATATATATATATATATATATATATATATATATATATTTATATATATATATATATATATATATATATATATATATATATATATATATATATATATATATATATATATATATGTATACATATATATACATATATATATGTGTGTGTCATCAGGAATATATATATATATATATATATATATATATATATATATATATATATATATATATATATACATATATATATATATATGTGTGTCATCAGGAATATATATATATATATATATATATATATATATATTTACCAACTAATATTCAGAAAATGTTTCATAAGAGAGTAAGTGGGTACATGTTAAAAGGAACTGATGTCTTTGAGAAACCTAGATTCAGAACCAAAGTGAGGGAATGTAACATTTCTGTAAATGGTGTAAGATTGTGGAATGCCATTAACAAGGAATTTAAAGAATCAACTACACTTGCAATATTTAAAAAATGTATAAAATCTAATGTATTTAGTAATTATGAAAAGAAGAATTATAATGTCAAAGATTAGACGTGAAAATATTATAAAGTGACCAAGGTTATATTGTGTTTGTTTGGCGGATAATTTTATTTCGTAAAAAGGGGCAGAAATCATAAGATTTTTTCTTCTGTCTGCTCCTTTTCATTCAAATGTTTTTTTTTCAATATGTTAATGTATCCTGTATTTGTTTGTGTTTATTTTATACATTGTGAATGAAATAAAAGATAAAAAAAAAAACAAAAAAAAAACATATGTAGTGAGGGCAGATATGGCAGGACAAAACTAATTCAGTGCTTCTTGCCGTGGAAAGTCTGAATCCTGCTGTTTTTATCTTACAGTCAGAGCCAGTCCCTGATACTATAAAATTTTGCAGCAGCTAGAACGTCACATCCAGAGGTCAACTAGAAAACTGTAATTATCTGGGGCGTGACTGTTGAGGCGCCAAAGGGCCGAGGAGCGGAAATCAGAAGCAAATGATGCACAAAACAGTCAGTAAATCAGCCGCTACACATTTAGGGAATCTGAGCCGGAGTGGTTTAAGTTAGAGATAAAAGTGATCAGCAGGTTAAAACCAGAATCTATTAGGGCCACAGAGAGAATACATTTGATAGTTTCAGTTTTTCATTCAAAAACATTTTTAATCAAACCAACTTTGAGGTATTTTTTTTCCTTTTTATCTTTAAACACATTTTAATACACTTTCTTTATGACTTTGAGAAATGTTGTTTTTTGTAAAGCTGTTTGTTTTCCAGAATCCTCCTCTGATTGCGACCCTGTCCTGATCCCAAATGCTGTCTTTGTTTCCTGTCATGGACGTAAAATTCACTTTAGAGGGGGGGGGGGGGGGGGGTATATTTACAGTATGTTCTAATTGGAAACAGGCTTATACACAAACGGTTGTTTTCCGCTTGGTCCTAGAGCTCAACTAGTGTCAATTTAATATAAAGTAATATTGTTTTTGGATGGTAAAAGTGCAGGGGTCAAAACTTGACTTTGGAAAAAGTGTGTGTGTGTGTGTGTGTGTGTGTGTGGGGGGGGGGCACATGTCCCCCCTGTCACCCCCAAAAATTACGTCCATGCTTCCTGTTTTGGTTTGTTCTGCCTGATCTTCTCCTTCTGGAAGGTTATGTTGTTTTTCCAGCCATTGTTAAATTTTGGTTTCCACTTGACTTCTGTTGTGTTCCTAAAGCAAACGTTGCCTCTGCGCTACAGCCAGTCCCTCCATCTTTTAGCACATTTCTATGAAGACTGTGTGTAAGTGAAAACGTTCACTCTGCTCTGATTAGCGTCCCTCAGAAACTTTAATGGTCTCAGGCCACCATTCTGGATCATCTCTGCTGGAATGTGACATTTAAACGTGTATTTTAATTGGACACAAAGCTCGGCAGCAGGATGAGTCACCCACACCGCATCAGAAATACCCCGAGCATGCTGACAGTCCAGCCTAACATTACTCAGGTACAGAACAAAACATCTCAAATACAAACTTTCTCTGACCAAATTCTACATTCTCTGGACTATAAGGAGTTTCACGATCATGTCTGTTACCATCATATTTAAGTTTGATTTGGTTTTTAAATTACATTTTTAAGATTTAACGCAGTTAGAGTTGATGTTTGATCACAAAACTGAACTTTTAACTAACAAAGGAAATAATAAACATACAAACAAATAAAATGATAAATTTCTGTATTCCAAAAGAGCTTTCATTCAGTTTTGGAAGTATTTTAATCAAGTTCAAGGACTGACTATTAAACAGGACCAAGGGTGTGTGCCTGGCAGCTCTAGCAGCAGGTGCTGAACATCACAGGTTTCCTGCTGGTTCTGGTCCAGGTTCTGGGATCTCATCATTCCTTTAAGTTATAATTTAAGTTTCATCTGGAAGCCCTTCCCCTGCTTCATGTTTAGAAGAGACCAAATGTTAAAGACATTTTTCCACTAGAGCGAACATACAGTTGGATTTGTTCCCGTTTTCCTCCCTCTGCACTGAGCCAGATGTCGACACGTCACGGAAAATGCATTCGTATGAATCAGTGAACACAAGGAGAATATGTCGAGCTAATAAAGACAAACTATCAGAGAGATCTTACCACCAATACCAGGATCATGGGACCCTGGTAGATGTAGTCAGTGTAAACTCCGGGTTGCTTCCCAAACCAGCACCTGGAATAGAAACAGAACCAGTCACACTCAAATCTAACCAACTGCAGCTTTTAATGGACTCTTCTAACCTTTATACCACCAACTCAATAAAAACAGGCAGATCTTTAAAAGCGTTCAGATAAAGCCATGGAGAAATCAGGGGGAGAAACCAAAGAGGTGCCACCCCCTGCAACAATCCTCACACACCTGTGTCACAATGTGAATTTGCATTCATCTTGCACCCATCTCGGCTTGCACCTTCCACAGGAAGGCTTTAAAAAAATTTGCAGCGAGGAGAGAGCAGAGAGTGTGTTGGTGATAGTGACTTTGCAACATGCCTGAATGCATTCTGTTAGTCAATAAGAAGTAAGGAAGGTGTGTGCATATCATTAATAAAAATTAGTAATCCTGCTGTTTTCAGCTCACCTTTGCACCAGCAAACGTTTGCATCTCAGGCCTAGTCCACACGTAGCTGGTTTTTTAAAAAAATGAATGTCCGCCCCTCCAAAAACTTGCATCCACACCACCTCGTTTAAAAAAAAAACTCTGTCCACACGTACCCGGATAAATACGTTGTTAAGGACATGCCAGACCTGTAGGCGGCAGTACTTCCCCGTTCTTAACCTCGTCCTTCGTCTGTGGTCTTCCGCAAGGAGCAGTAATTCCGCTTGCAAAAACAAACAAGCAAAAAGCGCTTGGACATTTGATAAAGCGAGCGCAGCTCTGAGGGCATCCATGCTGTCGGCTAGTGTAAACACAGGTCGCACACGTGATGTCAGCATTTTTTTGTCGCGGAAAGTGACGTTGCGGACCTTAAAACTCTGGTTTTGTCTGTCCACACGCAGACACCCAAAACGGAGAAAACGCAGATCTTCACTTTGGCCGGAGTTTTTAAAAAGATCCGTTTTTGTGTGAAAAAACTCCGTTTTCGTGTGGATGACAGGCCAAAACGTAGAAAAATATCTACGTTTTGGCAGATCCCCGGCTACGTGTGGACAGGGCCTCAGAACAGGAGCATCATAGCTTGTTTTTTAATGACTCATAAGGCATTGATTTACACTAGAGAACCCTGCAAACATATTGAACAAACAAGTAAACCACAACTTTAAATCTGCATTTGAGCAACAACTTAATTTGCTTAATCTGCTAAGAATACATGTGCAACTGCACAACATCTGCCACAGAAAGGTGGGCGATCATGTTTTTGCTGTGTTCATTTCAACTTTCAGTCAGCATGATAATACCGGATGGATGCTAACAAAGCTATCAGACAGAAATCACTACAAATGTAGCTTATATTTGACATAAAACACACTTTGTGTACCTCCCAATAAGGAATAACTCAGCCTTTCCTCATCTGAACTCAGGAGGCTCAAATGGTTTGTTTGGTGCTTTCTAATAATGCTTAGAGCTGAAAAGCTTCATTCACATCAGACAGACTGACAGGTATTACAGCGGTTAATCCCGCTCAGCTGAAACACATTTCAAGATCCTAAATCCTCCCAATGTCAGGGAGCCGTTAAACTCTACAGTCGGAGCAGAAGTGCTTGTTTATAACCTCTACCAACATCCATGATCCTTATTATTGTCTTATCAGGACAGAAATGTGCATGGATGATCAATTTCAATAGTAATAATCTGTAAAAGGAGTCCAGCTTCATTGGCATGCAGAGCTGTAAAGTTCTAAGCCACAAATTAAGCTACTTCTGTAATTATGGTTTTCTGGTTACGTCCCAGCATCCTAACGTCAGACCCATCAAAAATTAGTTTTATGTTCCTAAATGTCAGATTCTCACCAGAAACTATCACATTTAACAGATTCTGACACAAAACGTGGTCAATCATTTAATCTAGACAGAGCCAGAGGTTAACCCAAATACCTGACATGTTTAACTCGTGACCCAGAGTCTTTAGCTTTAGCTGTTTCTGCTTGAGCGGCACGGTGTGTTCCCAACAGCATTTCTGAACAATGTGAGGGGTTTAAACAAAAATCTGCACAGAGGAAATCCCAACAGATAAAAATGCTCATAATGCAGCTTTAATGTTGCCAGTTACGTTTTTAGCTGTGTGGCTGTTTTTACAGTCCCCCTAGGCTCGTTCTCTGCAGCTAATGAGCAAACAAACCGAGTCTCTACAGTGAGACAGAAGACCCAAGATCCATTTGGTGCTGCACGAGTTTTCCTGTCAGCGGGATGCTCCGTGGGAATGAATCACAATCAGGTTTACGTTTGAGGAGATCAGGTCAGTCTGTCACGGGGTCTGAAGCACAGGAGCTCTTTGGCTCACGGGACCTGGATGCTCTGGATTTTCATCAGGTAATTAGAAAACTCTGCAGACTCTCATTTATTTGTGGCTTGGAGGAGCTGCAGAAACTGGCACTCCGGTAAATAGGTGACAGACGAGAGCAAGCACTCCCAATCAGACGGCAAATTGTGTCTGAGCCGATAAATAATAAGGAATGTTCCACAATGCTAATCTGATTACGGCAGATAATTAATGCACATTCATCTGCCTAATGCAATTTGCTTTGGCGTTTCCTTTTTATTGTCAGAGTTGGGAAGTTTCGTCTCAGACAGAAAACGGCATGACTCACTTCTCGTTGTCGTAGTACAGCTTTCCGATGGCCCACGCCACGATGATCGGGAAGGGGATACCTGCAAGGTAAAAAACACAAAGGCAGGCCACACAACTTCCTTGTGAATTTTTCTGGCAAAACGACAACGCTTGCCAAACTGTGGAAGAAGAAATCCTCAGATTCCAGCCAAGACTCTTTGCCATCTGCCTGTTTCTGTGTGAACGAAAAGCCGAGCTCTGGAGGCCAGTAATCCACTGATGTGATGATTTACAGACATTTATGAACAGAGCTGACAAACAGCAATTACTCACATCTAGATGATCCTACCAGAAGATTCCAGAAACACTCTGCTTTAGTGCTTCCTTTTACCTTCAACCTCTTGATCACATACCCACATGAAAAACAATCAAAGTGTCTTCTGCTCCTTTATTCTTTTGTCAAAACCTTACTGACACACCCTTTTAAAGCTGGAACTTAAGGCAAAAATAAAAAAAGGATTTTATTTGTTTTCACAGCACTTCTGACAGTTCCTCCTGAGGGTAATGTAATTCTGCTAACAACATCGTTTAGTCTGACAGCATGAAACACAGGTTTGGATCAGACGAACTGCTCAACACGAGCCCACGTCTCTCCGCTTGTGGGTAAAAACCCAGCCTGGCCTTCTGTAGCTGCTGAACGAACAGCTGAACTCTGGGAAAGGTAAGCGGTGATAATCTGATTTCTGTGCCCAAAAAGGAAACAAAGAGATAAAAACTGTTTAAATTGTTGTCATACGTGGTGTGGGTTTATTCTCAGGAAAACCGTTCAGAAAGGCTCTAATGCTAAACGGTAATTAGCTCAAGAGTTTATTCTAATAAACACTTGGCTCCAAAGACAATAACTGCTTCTATTCAAACGAGGCCTTTCATTCTGAAAAACAAAGTTAACGAACAACAGAGACTCAACATCTTTTGACCTTCTGAATCACTGGTTTGAGTTAAAAGTTTTGTTTGGGACAAAAAACGTCTTCCCACCAGCTCAGATCATCAGGAACGTGTCGATGCTCACAGAGATCCCATTATTTTTACTCATCTGTCATATTTCTCATATATTTTCTGTTTCGTGATTAAAGCTAAAGCTAAAGCCTGGGGTACAGAGAAGACAGATGCGCTGTGCCACAACACATTTTAAAAATAAGCCGTTATAGTTACTGAGAGTGGCCACACGGGGGCACAACGCCACGTCCCAGAATCGCCGGTCCGCACCGAGGCGCTGAGGATTGGCGCCAGTTCTGTTTCAAGCGCCGTGGCGCTACTGTTTACAACATTGTGGAGTACTTTACGGTAAACATCACAATGTGGAACGGCTTTACGGCACAAACCCAACCACCGGTGTTACATCGATATGTGTTACCCCCTCGAGATCTGTTTCTTTTGCACCCAGCTGTGACTTTGAACCATCCACTGGCAAAACATGTGCGTCCTAACCCTTACCCCAACAATAACCCTGAAACAAACATAAAAATGGTGCTACACATAATAATTTCAAAAATTTAAAGAGCAAGTCAACCCCTACCAGAGTCTAACTCCACTCCCACTTCATGTTTGAAAAATGCTTTGGGGGTGACTTGCTCTTTAAATTATTCAAAGCATACATTTTAGGTGAGAGGGTGGAAATGGTCAGGATAAGGGTTAGGGTGATGATTATTTTTTGTGAGCGGGTTGTCTCCACTAGCAGCTGGGTGCAAAAGAAACAGGTCTCAGGGACACACACACACACACACACACACACACACACACACACACACACACACACACACACACACACACACACACACACACACACACACACACACACACACACACACATATCGACATAACACCGGCTCAAACCCAACTGCCAAAACATGGACAGAGTGTCAGGTTATGTGGCTGAGCTGAAGCGTAGCGGAGATGGTCTGTGGCGTAACTGTGTGACCCAGACGCGGAGTGGCTAGCGTTGGGTTAAACAGAGCACGCAGCTTTACCCTGGGAACGGCGAGACAGCGCTCGGAGAGAGCCGAGCCTGAGTAGCAGTTCCGGTAGGATAAGGAAGCTGGCTTACTGGTAGTAGACAGCGAGGATGGATTCTTGTGTAGGGTTAGAGGGCTGGTAAGCCTGAGAACTCGATTCAAAGTCTGGTAGGAAGATGACTGAGTAATGAATGAGCGCCGGCGCTTCCGTAAATAGGGTCGGTGTGATGACGTCGGCAAGCCACGTTGGCGGCGGGAATGTTGGGAAGTGGTGGCGAGAATGCTGGGAAATGTAGTCAACCGGAGGAGTTCGTGACACAGAGGAGCTTTTTTTGTTGAAGTCGAGAAGCATATGATCTTATACGATCCTACACCTCCTTTCTACAAGGACAACATCAGGAAAGAAAGCTGAAAACTTTCTGCTTCCTGTTCTCAAGTCCTGCGGGATGTTGTGACTATCCTGCAACTTTCCAAGAAGCGCTAAGCAGCGCAGCGATTCCTGTGTGGCCATTTGACTTCCCAAAACCATGGCACTTCTTTGGCGCAACACATCTGTCTTCTGTGTGTCCCAGGCTTAAATGTCAACATTTGGTTTATTATATTGACAAAAAAAAAAAAAAACAATTTGGCTGTGAGAACATGTGAGCTGTGTGTTTTAGCTGAAATGAGCTGGTTTTGATCACAAAGTACTTACACCATCCGATGCAGATGAACATCCACTTTCGAAGTTTGTCAGTGGAATATGTGAGAACAATGGCAGTGTGGAGGTAACAGCCTTCCCCAAACATCCAGAAGAAGTTGGTGGAGTGAAAATAGTTGAAGGACGCCGTGACGAGACGACACCAAATCTAGAAAACAAAAACAACACAAGTCATTTAAAGATATGTGAGCTGGATGTAGTCATACCTCTTCATGTTAAATTATGTGCAGCTGCTCACTGTAACTGTACTGATGCCTCTCAACTGTGACCCACTTCATATTAGCTCTTCTCAGTCTCTCCTGTGGTGGCAGTTTGTCAGCCACAGCCTCAGCATTCCAGTGCTCCACATGTATTTTGACCAGGTTTCGAAAAGGTTTTGCCATTTCAACCACATATTTTGCCTTTTATTTATGCCTTCATCTCATAATTCTTAATTCCACAAGAAAATCCCTGATTTTTAATGCCTGGAGATTTGTGCCTTTTTCTTTATTTTGACCTTTCTCCTGTTTCAAGAATAATGTCTTTGGATTTCAGACTGTTGGAATCTGCACCTGCACCTTCAGTTTTCATAAAACCCTTTAGTTAACTATTTGTTTCTGGTGTAATTTTTGAGTCCAGCCAAAATACTCTGAATCTTTACATAAAAACCATATTTACAAAACCAATGTAATAAAACGTGTTGATTTCAGAAACATTCAGGTTTACATTTATTTACTGAGTGTAAATTTGCATAAAATGTGATTGTCGTGTTTTATAACTGCATACATATTTTCTACTTTCCTATCCTGAGATGCCAGATGGTGTTCATGGGCACCAGGTTGGTGACCCCAGGAACCACATGAGGTGCTCATTGGCATCTTCTAAAAATAGCGTAATCACTGAGTCTTTCTGTTTTGAAATCTCATTTCCATTGATATAGATATGAAAATGTCAGCATTTAAAAATAAAAAATACATTAAAATGTTTTTTATGTATAATGTTAAAGTGATAATTTCTAGTTCAGAGGTCAGAATTGTGAGATTGTATCAAACTAGTAGCCCTTCATATGGCTCTGTACCAATGAAATAGCTCTCAGCTTTAAGAAAGTCGTTGACGCCTGCCCAGTGTTTAGCAGTGAGTACGGGACTTGAAGGCATCACTTTTGCAGCTTGCTAGCTCAGACCAGGATGCTGCTGCAGATCCGTGTTCACCAGGGGTTTCATTTATCAAACATTGCGTAGAATCCTTACTAAAACTGTACTTAAGCTCAGTAAAAAAAATGTACTTACGCCAAGTAGGTTTGTGATCTATCAAACATGGAGTACGCACAGCTGCACGCAATCTCTGCTTCATAAATCGGAGACTAACGAGAATGTTTCTCAGCTGCTTTTTAGTCACATCCCGCTCTCACCACGCCCACTTACTGCCATAAATAGTCAATGCAAAGTGCCTTGTGGATCTCATGCATAGACATAAGCCGGCTGTTGCAGCGCTCCGCCAATGTCGATGGCGACCGTAGCTCAAGGCAGATCAAGGAAGCGCAATTTCACAGAAGCAGAAATCGAGGTACCTGTGGGTGAGGTGGAGAAATGAAAGGAAGTGCTTTTGCAAAACAAATAAGAGAAAATCCACGGAGTGGCACAGCGTTGCTGAAGCCGTCAATGTTGTGAGTTCTTCAGAGAGATCTGTGGCGGATATTAAAAAAATGGTCCGATCAGGATTCAATCCCCGGACTTCAGGGTGAGAATCATGCGCGCTAACCAGCAAGCCAAAGAAACATCTTACTTGGCCAAGTAGCCAGTGTGGGGGGGTCTTGTTCTGTGTGAAAACGAAGCAGTACAAGTGATAATGCTGCAGGATTTCATAATTGTATCCTTCTCAGCAGCAGCACTGCAGGTGCTCTCCATGTCCAAAATGTGCGTGAGCCAAGTCCTTAGTCAACCTAAAGTTGTGCACATTTTTCTGCTAAGTTTTCTTTCATAAATCCCAAAGTTTGCGTGGAAAGTTGCTTACGCAGTTTTCCGACCCCGTTTTGTGCGTAAGCAAGCTTGATAAAGGAGGCCCCTGGTGTTCAGGAGTCACTGATCTACAGTGTGTTTAAACAGGTCTGGCCTGTTTTAGCTGATGAAGTTCACTCACCACATTACTCTCATGGACCTCTGGACTCATGGTCAGCTGAACGATGAACCAGGTGGCATTCCTCAGGATGAAGGCGGTGATCAGGTTCCAGTGGATAATGTTCCGGAGGCATCGGATGCTCCTGCAAGAAAAACAAAGAAAAAAGAAAAAAGTTACCATATAATGAAGTAAACAAATGTCAGACAATCAGAAACTGTCTTGTTTTAATCCACTGAATCCAAAATCACATTTCTCACAATCCCCAGTGATTCTCTCTAAGTTTCATTTCAATCCTTCTGGAATGACTCTTGTTTGTGTCACACCCTGGAAGGCTGATGTTTTTTTCGTGATGTAAATAAATCAACCCTGGGACACAATTAAAAATCTGCCTAAGTGCCTTCAAGTGAGTGCTCTGAAATAGAAACAGCTGAGTGGGCAGAACAAACTGCCTCAGTCACCGTCGTGACCGTCTGGTTGGTCGTCACCAGCTGATGCTCCTTCAGGATTTATGCTTCAGCATGCATTCATTTTTAATCGGTCACTTGCGCCAGCGGACGCAGATCGTGGATGAGGAAAAGAATTTTCCAGTTGCCCTATACAATATTGTCTCTTGGGCAACCCCAAAACTACAAATAAAGGAAACCACTGAAAGACCTTGTGAAAAAGCTATTACTCATTAATATTCAGAAAAAAGAAGGCTGCAAAAAATATGCATTTGTATTGTGTTGCAATCAAATAATATCGTTGGCCATGATGTCAAAATGGTACAGATCCTGTTTTTAGTGCTCAAGAGGCAGCTGCAGCAGGAGCAGCAATGAGGGCTCTTCAGTAATAGTAATTATGTTCTGTGACCTCATTCCCTGCATTACTGGGGCCTTAATTAGTTCAATTGAGGAAAAACTGAAAACCAGAAAACATCAAAAATCTGTCAAGAAAATTACTTGATGCATTTACATGTAGTTTACTTGTCTTGGTGTAGTCCTCGTTAAGTTCCCATGCAGTCCATTCATGTAGTCCTTGTGGATTTGTGAGGGAGTTTATGTTTATGTATTTAGCAGACGCTTTTGTCCAAAGTGACTTACAAGTGATAATCGGCATGTTGCCCTTGAGGCTAACAACAACAATAACAGCAACAACTTGACATCAATCATAGTGAGTAGGGAACAAGGAGTGGACAGTAGAGAGGGGGATGGGTGCAGGGAGGGTGCTAGTTTAGAAGATGCTCTCTGAAGAGCAGGGTCTTCAGAAGTGTCTTGAACATTGAAAAGGAAGCCGCTGTTCTGGTAGTGCTTGGAAGGTCATTCCACATTTGTGGAACGATGCATGAGAAGAGTCTGGATTGTCCTGAGCGTGGTGTAGGCACTGCTAGCCGACGATCCTGTGATGACCGGAGCGGCCGGGCCGAGACGTAAGCCTTTGCAAGAGGATTCAGGTAGATGGGAGCCGTACCATCTTGGACTTTGTATGCTAGTGTTAGCAATTTGAATTTGATGCATGCTGCTAGCGGTAGCCAGTGGAGCTCAATGAACAGAGGGGTGACGTGTGCTCTTTTTGGCTGACTGAAGACCAGACGCACCGCTGCATTCTGGACCATTTGAAGAGGTCTCACAGTACAGCCTGGAAGACCAGTTAGAGGGGCATTGCAGTAATCGAGGCAGGAGTTGACAGTAGACTGCACCGGGAGCTGGGTGGCATGTTGTGTTAGGTATGGTCTGATCTTTCGTATGTTATACATATGGGTGAATGACTGACTTTGTTGTAATGCACCTTGGGGGGGGGGGGGGGGGGGGGGGTCCAGGACTCTAGAAAGCTCTATATCAATTACAGACCGTTTACCATTATTATCATAGTACCGTCATAAATACTGATTAGCTTTATAATTTACAACAAGACCTTCATTTTAACAGAAAAATCGAAGTTGTTTCAATTATTCTAGACCAACCGTAGAAGTAGCAAATTAGTGCTAAAATGAACACTGGAATAGGCGTGTAAATGAAATAGTAATGAACTCTGCATGTCTGCAGAATTTAACAGACTTTAAACTCTGATGTTTGAGTTGGTTTACTCTTCAAATAGTTGTTAAAACTCTAGGTTAAAATAACCTGACACTTCATATTTTCCTGTGATGCTCCATTGTAGCCTCATCAAGACTACCATTGGTCAGAACAGTTTTAGGATGGGCCAATCACAGAGCTTTATGATTGTAGAGGGATGATGGGTGGGCTTAGCACCAGAGCTGCAACAGAGAAAATTACAAAGATGACATTTCCTCAGGAATGGCGCTCGGTTTGTAGCGGCTTTGGCATCAATGATTTAGACGTGTGCCTTTCTTTAGGAGACATGAGCAGATAGAGGTACTGGAGTCTTTTATTTAACCCTCCCACTGTCCTAATGGTTGTGACCTCGTGAGGAAAGTTGACCATTGAGCAGGATTGATGGTTTATCCCTTGATGTCCACGTGGCAAGGGTGAGGTGGTGCTCACTCCTCACCCCTGCCACGTGGACCCAAGTGATAAACCATCAACCCTGCTCAGTGGTCAACTTTCCTTACGAGGTCACAACCATTAGGACAGTGGGAGGGTTAAAAAAAACAATGTATTTGCTTCTTCTTCTTCAACGTTCTATGGCGAACTTCCCCTGTTGTCATAGCAATGACTACATAACACTGTTCCTTGCTCTGATTGGTTGTAGAGCTGTCCAATGGCGTACGGAGACAGTCTGACATACAGCCGTAGATTCCTTCCCTATGAGTAAGCTGTTTCAATGGTTCATAAAGTCAGTCATTAGTAAGATTACATAAAAACTATTGTGTGCACATTGAAGAACTTGATAGAATGTTGGTCCAAGGCGGTGCAGACCAGGATTTCTCTAACTGAAACACAATTTTGATTAAAGATAAATCCTCAGCTAATTATTTAAAAACATGCAGTAATCCCACAACGTCTACTAAAAAAGCCAAAACTAAAATCTGTTATTAAGGAATGAAATGATAACATCTGCCAGCAGTTATCTGGGCTTCTGCTGGGAAGTTCTTATCATTCCTAAATTATTCCGTGCACTTTGTTCAAGATGATTTGACTGCTTTGTAAAACAAAGATCCATCACGGGAATTAGATCATTAAAATCACTGCTGCTGTAGGTTGTTAGTAGTCTCCCCACATTCCCTCGTTAACTTGGAGACGGTATCGATCCTGCTGCTGTTGGGGATTTCACACCGGCGACGGACAGACACTGCAAGCAGACGAGTTCCTGATGATCAGGGAGTCCTGGATGGGTGGTGGTATTGCATAGTAAGCTTTTAACTGAGAGATCATACATCACTCTGGGTCCCTAGTGGGGAGCTCTGCAGTGAAAAACCATTAAAGTTACTTCAGCTTCAGGATTCAGAGTGGAGGATGTTCTTACAAGTGACAATAAAAAAAAAACCTTCAAAACAGTGTTTCAGAGGCACCACAGCTTAAGGGCCTTGAAATAATGAAACATTTATAAGTTTAAAGGAGATCACTTTCTGACTCTGGGTCAGCTTTTGACAAGTTATTTCCAGGTGTAGTCACAGCTTTCTATTATCTTCCGCCACTGATTCACCCTGAAGTCTGTTGGTGGAACTTCTTGTTCTTTGGTCTAAAAAGATGCGTCATGAATAATTACACGAGGTCTGAACAGATTCATAAGGCCTTGGAGGAGAATGAAAACCAAACTGTCTGTCTAAACGTGAAACCGAGTCAGCCATGCCTACATGTAACTGGATAGCTTTGAAATGAAAAGCAGAAATGTTGAAAAAGATCAAAATACAAAAAAAATCAGGAATAATGTGAATTAAGTTTTACACACATGGGAGCAGCTTGTTCAGTTATAAACATTCTTGAGATCAAAATTTATCATAAACATTATCCAGATAAAGAGAGGCAGACAATGTAAAAACTTCTTAAATAGATAGAGGACAGGTGCAGAAACAGCTGTCTATCGTTAGTCCACATTTATGCACCAAGAACAGAGTGAATACGAATCTCCACGTTGGAAAACAATTAGAAAGGTTTCTGCCTTTCTTGAACAAAAACGCAGTGTGTATATGCAGAAAAGAAAAGGTGGTGGCAAGTAGGTATTTGTAAAACACCCAGATTGACAAATGCAAAAAGGGCCTTGGACTTTGTATCATGATGGTGAGAGGATGGAAGTTAGTCCAGGTGAGTCCAGTACCTTGACTCAGCTTTGCTAATGGGCCATTCCCATCTGTACCGGGTCGGCCCGGGCCGGGTAGCCCCAGTCGGCCCCAGCCTGGCCCGGTTGATTCCACACATCCTTGCCTTTAGCCCATGTGGGCTACCCACCAATCAGAGGCTTGCTCTAATGGAAGGTGTGAATTTGCTGTCAGCAGTGGGTGTGTTGGCCCTGGTCGGCCTGAAGCAGACCCCCTCGAGAAGAGGGCTGAGAATGAGCCTTGATTAGCCCGGAAAAATACCAGGCCACCCAGATATGTAAACAACCTACGCTACCCGGCCCGGGCCGACCGGGTACAGATGGGAATGGCCCATTACAAAACCATCAGGGACATCCTCGTAAAAGCTGTTTGGAAAAGTCCAGGCTTTTTCAATACTTTTAAAGGTACCAGAAAACTTAAACAAGTCAGTTAAATGAGAGGTTTCCCTCTGACCAGCTGGTCAAAGCTGCACCAGACCCTGAGATGCAGCTCCTATCTAAGGAGCTTCTCTAATCTTACAACTTCGTCTCTTTCCAGAGTATTTCTCTTATCCGATGGCACCATCTAGTGGCTGACAAGCATATCACACACAAAGTCTGTCACACTGTTTTTGTAAGATGGCGACTTCACGTTCCTTTTATAAATGTGCCTCTGTAGCCGACAAACAGAGCTGAAACATGTTTTATGAGTATTATTCTTATGCCATGTTATGTTTTAATGTATTTATATTTTAAAGACTTTCTTGTCTGTGAAAAGTTCATCAACTCTGCATCAGCCAAAGTATTCCTTAAATTTGAAGCATCAGTAAGCGGTCGTCTAACGCTATCGGTTAGTTCTGGTCGGTGCTCAGTTTCCTATTGCACGGAGCTCTGCTGGGCAGGGGGTGTGCTTAGCAATAAATAAATAAACAAATAAATAAAGACATATTGCTCACATTATATCAA